AGAAGCTACCAACAGAATAGAAAAAGTTATTGCAGTTCGTGGTCATAGCATTAAGAGTGTGAATATGTGCGTGGGGATTATTAGATTGTAAGAACCAATAAACACTGCCTTAACACAGATGACGTTCCTGACTAAGTACAGAAGACTTCAATCGGGATGTCCATTGTTGGACGTTTGCACGATTTAAAACCTGACGTGGTATTTCGAAGACAAGAATGTACTACAGACACATGTTTCTTTATAAAGCGCGCTTTTGGACAATATTATAAAGTAATATATGAATATCGTCTCAAAACCTTGAAAATTGAGAGACACATTCAGATATCCAGGGTGAATAATATGCAGAACGTTCTTAAGATTATAACTGAAACTATGGGACATATGTTTCCGAAGGAAGAAAGACTTCTCTCTCTGAATGCATACTTTACGGACGGGCTTCAAATGGCGACAAAGGAAGTGAAACAACAGCTAACTGCATGACTAATCAAGCATTTGATGTTGAAAAATATGTAAGATATGAAGAATGCCTTTAGCCGAAAATGTTTATGTTAAGATAAAGGCTGAAAAAGATTTATGGGTTAACGCTTCGGACTAGTAATCTAATGATCGCTAGCCGCATGGGTTCAAACCCTGACAGGGGCAAGTCGTTGTTTCCTTGAGCAAGAAACTTTACACTAATTGCTCAGTACTGGTTGGTTCCAGGAACGGATTCGAAAGTGCGTTTATAAGCTTATAGCTTCCTGCACAATCGAACTAAAATAAATTCTGTATATATATAAAAAGATTTATGGATCTTTTCCAGTTAGAATAGTAGAACAGTATGACTTGGACATGGAAATGAAAATGTTTGAGTTTGGAAGCAAGTACATGTTCACAAGTAGGGCGCGTCTATCTCAGGGTGATTCAAAGGAACAAAATCTTCGAAATAACGCTGGATAGCTAGGACTGAAGACTTAGGCGTAAATCATATAAACCAAAAGTTGAAAAATAGAAAGTCAAATAACGAGGTCAGGGCATTTCTGTTAAAACTACATAATGTTATAATCAAAAATTATAAGAGGTTAATGACATTGCACAGAAGAAACAAAACATTGCAACTTCAAAGGAAACGTCCGTACCAAAAGCGATAAGAAATCCTTACAACTGTAATAGTTTTAGCTCAGACAAAAATAGCAGTTTTATGGGAAAAAGAGAAAAAGAGGATGTCAGCGAAGAACCAAATGAATTGAATACCGAAAATCTTTGCTCAGATTATATTGCTCAAAGTAACGCCGTTATTTTAACATGTGCAGACGAGCAGCAACAAAGTAATGAAAATGCTGAAATCAAAATCATAGAAATTGTTAATCAATTTCATTTCGGTATAAAATTATGCATGCTTGATTGAATAAAGATGTTGATATTTCTTTTTGTTTGTTTTAATTTCTTATAATTGTGTACATTTGATCGAAATATTTTTCATAGCTCAATATACTGAGTCTGACGGAGATTGATCGTACAAGATGATTAAATATTTTCTTCTCAGTCCATGCATTGTAGAATCGATTATATTGAAGTTCCTTATAAGTATAGATTAAGTGACTCAACTCTTGTTCTTGAACTAGCGTTGGGTTATGTTGAATTCTGCCGAAGCCGGTGCTATGGGGCGTGGGCGGTAACTTGCATTTTCTAGTACCGTCCATGAACAATGTGGCCATACCACGTGACTTTTCGGGTACGGAACACGCCGATTTTTCACCTGATTCAGGTATGTTTTTTATTCACAACTTATTTATTACTCAACCGGTTTTGACCAGATAAGGCGCAGAGTACCCGTAATTATATCAGCTATCCACGGTATATCAAAATTCTGAAAACCCCTGAATGGTTTTTGAGAACATTCGAGTACAATTTTCTTTTCATAACCTGGGCCGAGGGGAACGGTACACACTCATTTGTCATAACAAGCAATTTCTAGCAAGTCATATGTTTTTTGACACTGTTTCATAGAAAAATACATGTTAAATCTGATATATTTACTATGTCCAATGTATCGAGTGAATGCAGTGATGTTTTAGCATATTTTCATAAAGTTATGTTGAAATGGTACGGAACACACTGTTATTTCAAAAGATACGGTACACACACATTTTCTGTGAATTGTTTCAAAGACAGAAATTGTGTACCCCACTCTTTTGTAATATGATGTTCACCTTCTCCCACAATCTGTGAAACCCATGCATACTCTCAGAAGCACTTATAACCCGACACTAACATTTTTTTTATAATAAATTGTTTATTTGTGGACGGATTTTGTTCAGATTTGGACCATACTAAGTTCAATATATGTTATACTTACATAGAATTTTATTTACAATTCATTGACAGAAAATGGATAAAATAACCAAACAAATAGGCTACTATAAAATAAAAAAAAATAAAAAAAATGGCTGTAAAAATACTGAAAAATGAACAATCTGTGAATCCGAATTATTTTGTATTTCAACCAGTTTGAAAATTTTTGTGCCCTCCCGTGGCTATAATAACGCGTAAACACCTCTTATCACACATTTATCCGTTAATGAACAAGGGCTTGTTCAAGTTCAATCAAATTGCGAGGGGCAACGGGTCGCTTTCTCTCACACGCGTATTCAAGTCATCCCACAAGTGTTAGATCTGGTGACTTGGGAGGCAGAAGGAGTTGCTTGAACTCGAGCAAGCCTTATTTAGAAGTGGAGAAATATTCCCCTAGCCTTTATGAAACACTACGTGATTTCAATGTCACAGATGTGTTTACACGTTTAATAATTTGTTGTTGGCTCCTGACCTCAATGCAACTATTCAACACATTACTTTCATGAACGGTATAGGGTATACCAGCGCATGAAACAACCATAACCTTTCATTTAATAATTATTGATAATTGGTAGAGACAACTATTATCCATCAAATAAGAGAAATCTGAATTGTGTTTTTAAAACACCCAAGAAAGCGCCAAGTCTGAAACCAAACTGAGACAGTTTTGTGTTCCTATGAAAATGCCCTTAACTTATTTCTCTTACGACATCAATTTCCGAAAAAAATATATACGAATATAAACATTTAAAGATTGCCTTTATAAGCTCCTACTTTTGGTGTCCATGTCTTCTCAGGATGATGAAGCTAATTAAATTTCTAGTCTTTAGATAAAAAAGAATTTCCGAAAAATGTTTTAGATATACTCTACTTGTATATTCGTTTGCATAGATGCATGCACGTAACACACACACACGCACACGCACACACGAACGCGCATATAAAGGTGCGTGTATGCTCTTAACAATACGAGTAGATTGAAACATCAAGAATTTCATACAACAAATCTAGTTTTTTTTTCTTATTTCTTAGTCAACCAATACACTTATATATCGTATGTTACATGCCCACTGTGTAGAACATGTACTCACATACAAAAGGCAAAAAAACAAAAGCAAAGAAAAAATTACTTGATAAATTGAAACAGTTAATGTTTATTCACACCTATCATTTTTTAATACAAAGAATTGTTTTCTTGTGTCATATACATTAGTTTAAACATAGTTTATCGCATTAAATACTTGTTTACTAACATATTACACAAACAATGAGTATATATCAAAATACATATGGGTTAGGCAACAAGTTCTTTCAACATAAGATTAAGCCCTACCCAGTGTCAAATACATTGTATATATTATTGACTTAATCGTATTAAAGGAACTCCCCTGAGGCCCAAACGCAGACAATACTCCACTGAGGCTAAAATCATATTATTTGATGTTTTCACATATATCAAGTGACGCGCGGAGTAGAACATCTGCACAAGATAAACAAGAAACATACTTTTCGAGATCACTGACGAATTTTCGACATAGCTATGTCTCTGTGAAATGTGTGTTTGTTTATATGCAAACATTAGTTCTACCACGATTAAGCTGTACATATAAATATTAAGAAATGAAATTAACACCTTTCGCCAATTAGGACAAAGAAGATAGTTTCCTCTAAACCAATCGAAAGTCTTGTAACAAACTTTGCCGAAACACATTCCAGCAGACTTTTATAAGGTAACATTTTTATGCATTTTGTTTTTTATTAATAATGAAATTAATGATTTTTCTTTTTACTAGTAATGACTTGTTATAAGAGACGGTCCTCCTTTTATGAAAACATCTGGGCCCATTTTTTGTAAATAAACATTATGAAGCGTTCTAGTTCTCTTTATTTTAAGCACAGCTTTTATCAATGGAGTTAATTTTTCTTAAATATATTTTGTTCATCTGGAAAGGCATTGTTGTCCTTAAATGCCCCAGTAGACTGGTAATAATTTCAGCCTTCCAACTTAAAACCTCGGAAATATGTATAATGTTGGGCTAACAAAATAAACGAGAAATAAAAAAATAAGTCGGACATTTTTCTCAATACTATTTATTGAGAATATGTTTGCCAAGGTACATGGTCATATCTACAATACTGTTTCAATCAGAGAGCACTAAAATCAAGAATGTAAAAAAAGTTTGAATGGGCAGATAATTTACGTTACACACGAATGATGCTTTATCCAATTTTTGGAATTTTTACAGTGCCATTTTCCAGGGGAACTTCAATATACTTGTTTGTTTTTTGTTTCCGAGTTATCTCAATAGTGAAAACACATGCACTAACTTTATTCTAATTCAAAACAAACCAATTGTTTAAAATAATTTATTTGTAATAATTTCACATCAGATTTTAGCGTGTAGTAGATTATAGAAGTTTTCACAATCAGACTTTTAAACGCATATAACCTCACAATATAAATCACCTTCCCATTTCTCTTGGTGGACATATTGAAACCGGAAAAAAGAATATGAAGCCCCCTTCAGGCAGTTCATTCACTAAAGTTCAGATTTATTATTCAACAAAACAAACCTTTCCTCCCGATAAATTTTTTGTAAGCAATTACAACATTTCTCAATTTCCTTTCATTTTCGATCAAAAGTGGAAAACCCATAGCGGGTACATTATCTACAATACAAAAAAGAAAATTTTGTCAATCAGAAAAACAGGCATTTTATGTAACTTACCTGATTGAAGAAATAAAAACAAACATGTTTTAGAATTGCTAAATTATAAGACATTCATATGATAGTTTGTAGAGCTTGAACATGTATTTTTAATATTATTTAGTTCTGAGCACCTATTTACAACTGAATCCAGTCTTAGGGTTTCTAGTGTTGTACTCCTTTATTGTATTCATTTACTATAACCGTTCGGTTGTAAGTTGCTTTAACCAATACAACTTGAGAACGAATGCTTTTGCGAGCTATCTAAAATGTACCTAGAAAACAATTAACTGTTCAATGCTAAAGTCTGTAAAAATTGAAATGAATTTATTTCGCTAATTTGGTCTTTATAAGCTATAAATAAAGCATAGTAACTAATTGTCGAAAAGTAGCCTCCACGAACACATGATGTATACAAACTTAGACTTATATTACATGCAAGTTTAAACGGGATTTATCCCCTACTATGCTAGCTATTGCGTAACCAAATTTCAACTTACTTGTCGTTTCCATCTACATCTTTTCCTCTATAGCCGTCTTTTCCGATGATGAGGTATTGTTTACCTTTCTGTAGGTTTGGAAAATGACAACTTGATTTCCAGAACAGTGTCAATTCGTCGCCTTTTGCATGTTGTTTGGCACCTTTATTATAAAATATTTGTAATATTTAGCATAGTACAAAAACATAATTTATTACATGACTTTACATATTATTGCCTAAAAGTGAAAGATCAAACTTGTATTTTTTGACATAGTATACTTTAAACACAAGCATAAGAATCCTTCGAAAGTTCACAAAAAAAATGATTGCTTACTTACCTGGGGTATAGTAAGTAGTTGACTTCAGTTAATGCCCTTGGTATTTTAGAATCAGTATCGTTCTTCCACCATATACTTGTAACTTTGATTATATCGGCTGTAAACAAAGAAAATATAATCAGTGTTATCTTGGAATTGATCATTTGATTTTTTACATATCTAACACTTTATTACATTAACATACAATAACGTATAAATAATAATTATTGTCTTATACATAAAAACACAGTTTATATTGTACTTTAAGCTACTGTTGTCCTTGATTGCAAATATATCAATAATTTCTGTTTCATACAAAAAAAAAAAAAAAAAAAAAAAAAAAAAAAAAACCAACAACAACAACAACAAAAAAACCCCCAAAAATTGTTCAGATTATATATCGTAATAATTTCAATAATTTTATAACGTTATACACGTTATTTGATAAATGTACGATAAACGTTTCTTTGCCTCAATGACCGGTAGATTGATCATACAACATGTGAACGTTTCTTCAATTGAATATCATTTATAAAAGCACTGTACCAATGATATCAATTTATCGTCTCAAATACCAAATACATATTGTATACCCCATAAAGCTTTGTTATTTTTTCCTGAGTACATACTGTCAACATGTATATGAGAAACATATCGTACTCCAGTCCAAAAATAATATCATATCTTTATTGTACTTGAAGCAACAAAGTTTTATCAAATTGTCAGAGAAAATGGTGTGAAATAAGGTCATTATACATTACGCCGTTCACGATATAGGTTTGACAGTTGTGTACCTGTCCAGTAGAATTAATTATTGGACTCAACAATGTATAATAACATCATAATATCAATTTCTTGTTCGTTTTAGCGAATTTCTGTCTACTTTAAATGAGAGTGATAAAAAAACACTATTTATATAATTTTCTTTGGCGAATGAATAAATGTTTGCTTTCATCTTAATTCATTCTACCTTTTATTTACACAGGTATTAGTTACAGGAACTATAATACAAAGGGCCCGAATGGCTGTATTTTTGAAAACTACACCTAACGTAAGAAGTCTTATTTAAGTGTATTGCTAGCTTAAAGATTCTGCTTGACTTTGATAGGAAAACTCACTTTTGAGTCTGTATCTTTATATTGTGCAAAACAAACTTTATTGTATTCAACTCCTTGAAACGATATTTCTAAAAGAAATGTTTGTTATATTGTTGAAAGATACGATGTAATATAATAATTTCGGAAGGTTTTCTTTCTGATTAAATCATCAAGAGGGAAATGTTGGTTTTAAAAAGAATATCATCTAAGTTGTTCCATTATCATCTATTCTCAGGTATAAAACATATTTAATAGAGTTTTGTTTTTAAATTTAAAGGTAAAAATATCAGTAATATTGAACTCAAACTCTCAATTTGCAATTATGATTTGTGATTTTTCAAGGCACGTTAATCCAGAAATTCTACTTATCATACAGCTGCAAAGAATTTTTTTTCTCTACATATCTTTTAGCAAGATATTATATGGACTTCTTCGATAAAAGATGTCAATATTATGTTTGGTTTTTTGTTTTTGGTGAAGGAAGAAAGCTTATCTTTATTGATTTTGGTACAAAATTATATCGTCTCGTGTGGATAACTAAAGCTGCATATGCAATTATAACAATTACACTATCATTCTGCTACTTACGAAAAGAGCGAAATATCGCAATTGTTCGACACAAATTATTGGTTAAGACCTATACAAAAACAATACAAAAAATAGAAAAAAACCGTTCATCTCGAAATAGAGAAATAGATATTTCTAGTACAGTACGTCATATCTAAAACCCTCAATGGTGTCCCTTTAACATCGTACTTTTACACGTGTAAACGTCACTCTTCTTTAATTAATGCGAACTTAATGGTACTGTAATTCATAGACAAACCATAGTTTGCTTTATCCACGTTACATGTGTATTGAAGCAACTTGATGGCTGGTTTTCGTCCGTTCTTAAGCAAGTTCAAAATCTCTTTATCAACTGAGACTGCACAAGAACCTGTAATATAAAATAAAATTATATGAAATATCCCTTCGGCGTGGAACTGATACCCTCAAGAGCATTGATCAACAATAAGCACATTTCCCATGAATATTTCAGAAATTATATAAAAAAGAAAATAGAAATGTAACATTTGGATGTTAACATTTTCTCAGATTTTTATAGTCTAAGACAAATAATATCTTTTTCTATAACAATATTTTTATTATCTGCTATTTAAAACTATGCCGTATTGGATAATATATCATACACATTTTATTAACAACATATATACATACTTATCTCGTGGTTTGTTTTAGCTAAAATATATAAGTTTTCAAAATAGCGTTTTAGTAAAAAGTGGTCAAGGCACAAACACTAGACATTGAAATGTGTTAAATTGCCATGGAAAACGTAGCCAAAATGTTGTATAGGAGAAAGTGAGTATGTCCCGCTGTTTAAGCCAATCCGATCTATGAAAATCTTGTAAGCAGAGTTTTTCGTGGCAAAATTTGGTAAAAAAAACTTGGTGAAAAAAGAAAAATAACAGCAGCAGCAACAACAACAATGAAATATAACTAAACTACTACAATAGTTTACTTACTTTGCAGACATTTACATTGTTTGTTTTTAGAATCACATTTGTAGTCCACAGCTGCACCTTTGTTAGGACCTGTTCCATATATCTTGCGACAATATTTATCTGCAAGAGATCAATCAATTAAATCATTAGCTGAATTGAAGTTTTTTTTTGTAAGTGATGAAATATATAGAGTTCCTCTAAGAGCAGCATGCCTCCTGATTCATGCGCTAATTTTGAAGAAAATTTCTTTTGAAAATGTATTTTATAGTAAGTATTGAAATTAGATCAAAGAAAGTGATATACAGTGTATGTACACATTGTAAACAACACTTACAATAAAAAATAAAAAATCATTCGCACATAATATTGTTATAGAACAGGTTATATGAGGAATATTTTTTATAGTATTTGCGGTTCGGCTAAAGACAGTATTTCGTTACAGCTAATGACGGCCGTACCAAGTTATGTGAGACAAGGCCATTATTCCCAAACATAAATAAACATGAATCTTTAATATACATCACTGGTTATGTGAATTATTTCCCCTTGTAACATTTTGTTACAATTATCACTTGAATAGTTTTACTTTCCTATAAATCTTAGAACAATTTTGTCAAGTTTGATTTTCTTGAACTATTTTGTCTTATACCGAGGCATACACCTTTAGAGTAATCTTTCCTTACATCAGGGAAAAAAACACATACAATTGCCAACTCATATCAAAATATCACTTAAAATCTATCAAAAGTCCAGCGATAATTATTCGAATTGTTCATTTCATTCATGGACTAGTAATACAAACTTAAACGACAACAAAGACTGCAAAACAACGACGCGTTCAATGTAAGTAACTAAATTTCCAAATCCATTCATCAACCAATGTATTATGTATTAAATAAGAACAATACCAAAAACTGTCCATTTTCAAAGACAGTTATAGTGCATAAACTTAAAAATTTCATGCAAAACAGTGTTCATGTGTCATAAAGGTAGCAATATGTAAATAAGGTAGTATTTTCACTTCTTTAGAATTTATTAACTTTAATAGTTATACCAACTGCCAATTGTGAAAAGAAGCTAAACATTGTTCAACTAAATGTATATTACAAGCAGTAATCAGTTGGACCTTAAACAAGTTACCAAATGAATAAAAATAAATAGTTTTTGAGAAATATAAATAATATGAGCCATAATTACTCTTTGATTACAATGTATGAACAACTCGATGGTTTTAAATACAAAGCTAATACCCTCTAACAATGAAGTAAGCTCAAACATTAAGAATAAATCGTGTTTAAATATAAAACAAGTTTAAGAACACACAGTGTTCTAAGATATCAAAATACAAAAAATTATTACCTCGTTAACGAAACAGGAGAACAGAAATGACAAGTATGTCTTTATTATTTGAAACTATATTTGAACTGTTGCCAAGATGAGTGGGAAACTTGAACTAGTATGGAAGACACGTACAAGAACCAGCGATTATATACACCCAAATGGAATATATATGTTTCATATCATCAGTTTCACTTTTAAAAAACACCTTCCAAAGTAAAAGAAAAATAAACAAGTATTTCCATCTTTTCCAGATGTGTTTATGAAGTTAATACTGCTTTGCACTTACATGCTGTAAAGTTATTATTTACAGGACATGTTGTCACAATAATTTGCCTTATAATTAATTTCTCTATCCTAATACTTACTACTAGTAAAAATTTGAGAATGATGTTTTTGTACTCCAAGGATCCTTTGACTTGTGTGGAGATTTGACAAAACGAAGGAACAAATGGAATCATGAAGTGCTAAAGTTTCTGGCGCTATTCAAACCAAAACTGACAAAGAACAAAATCAAAGCACAGAAGGCGCTGAATTTGTTCGGGTCTCAGAATGTAAGAAAGGTACAGGTTGTGAGATTATATGTATAGTGCCACCAATGCTTTCCAGCATTTTAATTGAAGTAAATTGGCTATTAGACTAATTGCAACACTGATATTCAATCCAATGTTTATTTGACTTAAACAATTTGAAAAAAAAAATGAGTTGCCTTTACTGGGATTTGAACACCAGACCTCTCGCTTCCTAAGCGAGCGCGAAAACCCTTCAGCCATAGTGAATTTATATGTGAACGGCCTGAAGAAAGCCATATTATTCTAAATTAGGGCTTGTAACGACTTTAACTGTTGTTTAACACAGATGTAAATAATCCTGGAGCTTACTATAAGCATGTATATTTATAAAGAATCAAAGACCCTGACCACCCAAACAAATAAAAATGAAATGGAAAACCCGACGGTAACCGCTCAGTACAAAGAAATCAAAAAATTATACCTGGATCATAGTAATCGAACACATCTACAGAGACAGGTTGACGTGACAGTTTGTCACCTTCAAAATCATCCACGAGCCGGAACACAAAGTCGTTTCTCTTTGACGTCAGCTGTGAAATAAATATCCTATATAAATTGTTTGTAGAGAGTGAGGTGTAAAATATGTTATGTTATTTAAAGTAACATTAATGTGATTTGTTTTTTATGTCTAAACAACAGAAAGTAAATGAAATCATAATAGCTGTCTACAAAGTTTATAAAAGTCGGCATTTTACTCCATGCCAATAAGTCTCATTTACAAACACAAATAAAACAAACAAACAAAACAGCAAAGTTCTATTTTGTCAGACTTGTCGGATATGTCTGATCCCCTTTCAAAATTCACAATTCTATTTTGTTAAGTCTGCCCATTGTTTTCTCGTTTAGGGACCACATGCCGCTTTTCATAGAATCGAACTTAGTGTCAAATTGAGGTTCCATGATAACCGCTATATGAACACATCTGTGGATGTTTGCAATTTCTAATTTCACCATTTTCCTTTAATTAATTGATTAATTAATTAATCAACTATTTAATATATCAATTAATAAAGGAGTGAGTCTTATAAGGCGATGGCTAATCAACACCTTTGCCTCAGGTTCACACAACCTTCAGACGCAGCCAGCCCGCGACATGTATTTTTGTATGTTTTTTTCTTCTTTTTCTTTATCTCATTATTGAGAGCACATGACATTAAATAAAACCCAGATATTTTACAAAATGATATATCAAACGTTTGAAAAATACAATTGTATGTAATTAAATATCAATAATCACCGTGTTTAGATAAAACACAACCAATCCGTTACCATTAGTTGGCATCTCAAAGTCATCCATATTGTCGTTGTCTCTGATGATCTGAAGCAATGCCCAGTAAAATAATTCAGTTTTACAAGTGGTTAATTTGTATATAGAGGTAAAGCCCAAAGTAAAACAATAACAACAGTAAGTAAGAAAATTTTGTTAAGATAATAGCTATAGTCAGTGATAGTCAGTGATACAATTACAAAAAATACGGCAAGCAGGTGAGAAAGTATTAACACAATTTGCCAAATGAGACAAAAATGATTCTATGATGAATTAATTGTTGGGTTTTATAATAGGAGTATCACCGTTTACGCAATTATATAAAAAAATACTTAAATATAAAGATTTTTCCGAACATCAAAAATTGTTTTACTTTTTCCATATCTTCTTTTAGAACTGTGACGTCAGTTTCCAAGTTGAAGTATATCATAGACATCCCATGCTTGTTGCCCGGAAGTGCACTTTAAAGAAAATTTATACAAAATAAACTTAATATCAGTTTACATAAGCTATAAAGCTTAATCATTACTTTATTTATATTCTAAAGAATTAAAATGCTGAGTTTAATTAGGTTCGTTTGATTTTGAAATGACTATACAAAAGCAATTAAAACACAAACTATACTAGCCATTTACGAAACTACTTTGCATATCATAAAATATTATAATAATTATATGATAAAAGTAAAGCGTCTCAGTTATCGAAACATAATGCAGTTCAATCTGTATACTACATAACTCACGTATTACTATTCGCAAGCGCACATAAAACTTGTTACATGAATGTTTCATGCTGTTTTTGATACCTCTTTCAGAAAATATACTTAAGTTATTTCCACTGTTTCTGTATTAAAAGACATTGCTTAGAGAACGTTATTTATACAAATATTAATAGAATGTGCATTCACGCGTCGCCAAATGTCAGGATAGACGACAATTATAACAATGACAACAAGTACATTTCTTGTCCATTGAATTTAGTTCAACAAATTTCAATAGTTATTTTCATTTTGCATATCAGAATAGAAATAGAATTTACAATAAATAATGTTTACCGTAAGAAACCATCCTAACACTTGCATATTTAAAAGAAATACTCAGTAAAGTTAAAGAGGGAAACCTGAATGTACCACAACAGACCTAAAATTGAATATTATTCCAAGCTCAATTTGATTAAGCCTCTTCATAAACGGGCCTCTTCATAAACGGTAGCGATATATGCAGTTAACGTCTAAACAACAACAAGCACAATTCAAGCATTATTTAACTAATTCAATTAAGCTGGACAATGGTATCATTCGAAATCATCAATGAACATCGGCAGATAAGTTCATATAGTGGTATACATGGTCGAATCAATATGTCTTGTCGGTTCTGATTCTTGCAATATTTTACGACAATGAACTCAATTCAAACCTATTTCCTGATTTATAAAAAGAACTCACCTTACACTGAATCGAATACACTTCATGTTATCTTCAAGATTGGCTTGAGCTTGCCTTTTTTTCCTCCCAAATTTCGGTATATTTACAATAACAGGAGCCTTTGTTGTGAGCGAATTATAGTTCGGTACTGTAGGATTAGCATAACATGTGCCGCACACGTCACATTTCCTTTAATAAAAAAAGAACGTTTGCAGACGTCGCAGCGTCAGGGAGGTGTGGATTACAGAAGAGGTGACGAGAGTTAGTGTATAAATTAAGAAACCACAGACGGAGGTGAGTGAGGATGTGTATTAGAGAATGGATCACAGACAATAGGGTATTGGAGAGGTTATTAGAGAACGGTTAACATACGGGGGATAATTAAACAGGGTATATTTGATCAAAGATGGAAGATATCACGGTGTGAGGGACAAGAGAAGGACCACAAATGGAGAGAAGTTGGTGAGGTGTAGGAAAATGATCACAGACGAAAGTTTTGTTCACAATAATACAGAGGACGATTCCGTATATCAAAACATAAACATAAAAGCCATTTAGAATGTAAAGACCGTATACAGAGAGCAACAAGGATAAGCATTACTTGTATGCATGTATCAGAACACCACTAAATATAAACGAATTAAAAATGTACTTCACACGGAGTGTCAGATAAATGATATCAACGATGAAATAATGATAAATTCGTTTAATATATAATTCTTTGAACTGTGTGAGGAAATTAACCCGAATAAAATGCAATATTTTACATATTGAACAGCTTAATTTTGTGCGTCCAGTATTGTAATTTAATATATAATCAGTCAAACGTTTCTGCCTTGTATAAAACGGGATAGCCTCTTAAATGATCATTATGTCCAGTGCATTTCATATTTTAGAAAAGCATTACCATGTTGCATTGAGTAAGACATACAGGAGTGATACAAATGAAACTTGAATATACTTACAAATGCTTAATTGCGACAAACTTTAGTTTGGGATATAAATTCAAGATCTGCATATGGATTGATGCCGACAAAATACTTACAAAAGACTCAGCGATGAGGAATGATTTATATTTACAAGCTTACTGATTATTGTTTCAAATTGACTCAAGACATTTTATTTCATTCCAAAAATTAAAGGAGCAAATGCTCATCAACCCTAAAATAGCATTTCCGTGTCAATACGGTGCTTGTCTAAACAAGCTGCTTTAACTATAATTCTATAATATTAATATTGAATTAATATATAAATATTTGACGGTTTATTTAGAAACGAGTAAGCTATTTTAAGAAGTTTAAAGAAGAAAAGAAGTAGAAATAACAAATAGAAATAGGGTCTAAAGTTACCGGCCATACTTTGAGAACGCAAAACATTTTCTTGCAAAATGATGCTTAAAATTGCCAATAAATTACAAGTCATGTTACTAAATAGTGAAGCTTTACCCAAGTTTGGATATATTTCGATCACTCAGGGGTTTGTATACGTCGCCCACATCAATGTTTGATATATTAAACGGGCAAGTTTCGTTGCTCTTAGCAGGTCGATTATAACGTAGTTCAATCCTCATTCTTCCACTTCCAGATGAACCAGTCACCAACACGTTCAATTTACTGTCACCCTTTTCAACTGGCAACTTTAATAAAAATTTAAACAGTGTTTTAATCATAAAAATGCCAATAAGAAGAAAAAACAAGCAGAGAAAGACAAATTAGATATTTGTCAATTTTTACAATTAACAGCTACAAAGCTTTCACTTTCGAAAAAAAAATGATATCTAGAGACAAAACTAGCAAAACGTCACTTATGTCTTAACATACGCAAGTACCGTTCTTCAGCAACATACTATGGTCACCTTTAATTCATTTAGTATCTGTGTACATGAGTAAGCAATGACCATAGATGCAGTGAACGCATTTAATGAAAGTCATATAAACGATTCTTGAATGTTCGTCTTTTGCATTATTAAGCAAATATTATTTTATATGTATTCAAAGAGGCGTCCATGGCCGCTTTACTATGGACACGAATCCAGTCTGGGACTGTTATCCAGTTAGCTTACAGAACCTTGTTGGTTCTACTGACGTACCCGTTCGCCTTCACCAATAAAGATGGAAGCTCGCCATAGTTCATTCAATGTGTTGGTGCAACATTAAACCTAAACCAACCAAATAAATAAATATATTAATAGATACAAGATATTTGTATTTGGTAATCATCGTTATGTACATAAATTATGTAGCGGAAGCTGAATATTTCATTCGTTTTTTTTCTTTATAATACCGCAATACAAATAAGTTGTTTCCATCATACCTTGTCAGAAATTTTTTGTAGTTTAAACTTTTCATTTTTCAGTGATAATTGTTGTCCTTTCCAATCATTTGCGGTAAATGTCGCTTTAAGGTTTACAGACGGCGAGAACGTCCTGATGTTGTACTGGGAAAGTGCTTGCAGACCAACCACAGTGTCCTATCAAATTAAAATAGTGAAAACAAATGTAAGTCTTAAATGACTAGAAATGTGTCCATAGGACACGGATGCCCCCACACGTCACTGTTCTGTCAATCTTATGACTCTAGGTCAAATATTTTTTTAACTACATGTGCCACAAGTTGAAAACTAAAAATCAACAAAGGGCCATAATTCTGTTAAATTTGGTCGCAGCAAAAATTCCTTCCTTTACTACCATCTACACATTAAGGTTGTTAATCCCTGGAAGTTTAAGCAAAATCTGCCATCCGGTTTAAGAGGAGTTGCGTTCACAAAATTTCTACATAGTATATAATGAAAAAATCAACAAAGGGCCATAATTCTGTTAAATTTGGTTGCAGCAAAAATTCCTTCCTTTACTGCCATCTACACATTAAGGTTGTTCATCCCTGGAAGTTTAAGCAAAATCTGCCATCCCGTTTAAGAGGAGTTGCGTTCACAAAATTTCTACATAGTATATAGTGAAAAAATCAACAAAGGCACATAATTCTGTTAAATTTGGTTGCAGCAAAAATTCCTTCATTTACTACCATCTACACATTAAGGTTGTTCATCCCTGTAAGTTTAAGCAAAATCTGCCATACGGTTTAAGAGGAGTTGCGTTCACAAGATTTCGGGACGTACGGACTGACGGACGGACGGACGGACTGACGGACGGACGGACGGACAAGTGCAACGCTATATGCACCCACATTGTGGGGGCATAAAAAGTGTTCTACATTGCTTACTAAAACTATAATATCTTCTTATCATAAATAAAAAAAACATTAATACGCAATATATTTATTATGTTATAGAATATTTAGAACAATGTAAAGTGTTCACTAACTCTAAGAAATGTTTAAGCAGTCAGGTATTTCAATAGATAGAGATCTGTGAAAAATAGGAATGTATCGGATTCAAGTCCTGATCAGACTGGAGTGCACATTTGTTTTATTCAATGAAATTAAATCTAATCACAATTTCCTTAAACTTTATATTTTCAGTATAAAACCTATTATTTTTGCGTCTTTTACATCTATTTCTTCGACTTTACATAACTTTCCACGTTCCAAATGTCTTTCCGTTTAAAAATTGTAAGTACCTGTGTGCTTTTAAAAACGCCTTGTGCATTTTGTTGCGATGTCAGCCATCGTACAATGTGAGCAGCCTTCGCCATGTCATCAAACTTCAACATTGCCAAAAGAGCGTAAGCCGTTGTTTCAACAGCATAAGCATCTGTCGCACTATTGCCAGGTTTTGCCCAGTAAATATTTTCTGCAATTGAAAATGAATAGCATATAAAAGAATGACCCAGCACAATGTTTTAAATTGTAAAGTTACCCTTCTTTTTTAATTTCTTATTTTATATCACTAATGACCTTCTATTACAATTTTGTTTGACTTTTAAAGCGAGTTCAATCAAACGTTTCTATAGGAAAGAGGATGCATCTGTCTAGTGAGGTTCAAGGTGGCACAGTAACTATGTCTACCTTAAAGGTTAATAGATACAACAACAACATTTAACAACAACCATTAGAAATACCCATTCATTGGCTAACGAGGCACAGTTCGTTTAATATAATTGATTTTGTACACATAAAAAATCGGGCAAAAGAATACGCGTAGCATCTTTTTCTCCAAATTAATGAAAACGCAGAGCCTAAATACAAAACGTAAAAGAAATATGCATTAATTCAAGTTGGAAGTTGATCCATGCATTGATTCATGAGTAAAGGAAAATGAAATATAACCTTGTTAAAGTTTAATAAATAGGAAAATAAATAGTTTAAAGGGAAAATAAATATATTATTCTTTTATTTTAACCAAAATAAAAATTATCAGTTAAAGATACTACATACTAATTTTGTTTATGATCAATTTAATGGTTCATTAAAAGAAAACATTTAGATATTTATAATTTAATATACAAGATTAAAGTTGTTCATCTGTTCAAGACACATACATGCAAGGATGCAACAGAGCTAAAGCATTACTTATCTCCTTTTTGTGAAACAAAATCGAACAGTGATCACATGTATCGCGTGATAATCACGCATAATTAATTATTTTGGTGTGATTGGGCGGATTTGATATTTGAGTGCTTTCTGTAATATGGATAATGTTAGAATAACCGAAAACATTAACGGGCCAAAACTAGAATTTGTAATTATCAACTCAGTCTATTAAATGTTAATGAAGGTGTACTACTACTGCTGTGTAGCAGGCGATCCAAAATTCATTAACGAGCAAAACCCTTTCTATCTAAGCCAAAGAGAAACAAAAGTATCCTTAAAAAGATACCCGGCCGAAGTCAAACTTGTTAACTTGCATATGATAAGCTACTACTAACCATGTTAACCGCAAACAGAACATTGTATTCGTCCTCAATAGTTTTATTTTAGTTCATTTTTACCCGCAATGTGTTTCCCTATTAATTGGCATCTTAGATTTTAACATTATTACTTACATTATTTTATTTTAATCACAATGGAATTTGATTTGAATAGGAATTTATGATAAGCAAAGATTTAACAGATACTGTACACTAATTCCACGGAGAATTTTGCATCTGTAAATTAGTCGAAAGTTCGTTTCAATCGTCTAATGCCCGGTTCGAGAAGAGAATATAATGACTAGAACAGCTTATAAGTGAAACCCAATCGAACGCAAAAGTATCAAAGAGGCCATCTGTCATATCTAATTTCATATATTTATTGAAAAGAAACATCTAGAAAATATCATTATTTTGTTTTATATTTATTCTGACTTATATCTTTTTCCATCACGCAATCGAACATACCTCTACCTATAACGAGCTCTTCTAATCGAACAGGCTATTAGTGTTAAAATGACCAATGAAAATTCTGCCCATATTCATTTCTTAACTGTTAATTTTAGCAAAAGTCAAGGTGAAATCAGACGGCCTTCGGCCGAAAAAAAACGTTGCATATGCGCAAGAACTTGAAAATCTATTCAATCATGTAAAATTTCATTCAAAATGCATAAATAGTACATGTATAATAGAAGTAGTCCGGACAAATTTATTTATTAAAGTATTAAAGGGTCGTATCTTTGTTTAAAATCATAAACCTGTTCTATTAGACTTGGTACTGATGATACCTGAGTGTAAAGTTTAGATGAAATACTTGTTGAGGGATAAGTTGTGTGTAGGTAACAAAACTAGTTAACACAATTTTATTGTAGGTCGATTGCTCAGCACAAATTTATTTAACCAAAGGACCAGTTTAAATAGGCAAATAATTAAGGTACCGAGTAATATTAGTCTGGACCAACAGAAAATAAAAAGAATATCTGATCAGAAACTACTTACAGTAGGTAAATGCATTGTTAACGCTTTGACAATCATAAAAAGTAAATGCTATAATCAACAAAATAATTATTCTATGGTTTTTCCTTTTCATGATTTCTCGAATTAATCTTAAAATATTCAGATGTGGTTATATAGTTACACTTGATAAATTAAATTTTGACACATGGCAACACAATTATTGTACTTACTCCCATTTGACTTTTCAATCGACACTAACATGTTCTTAAATGTCATCATGTGTTCACTTTTAGCCAAAGCAAGAGCGTATGTGGTTATTGCAAGATCAAACGGTCTGTTTTTCAGCCAAGTTGTGTCCAAAGTTTCTAGGTACTTTGTTGCAAGATCAATAGTATGATTTAAGCTCTGAAAGAAATGGATTCAATAGATACGTAGAAAGCAGTTCAGTGAACGTGTTAAAACTGACATAAATGGCCATTCATCAAAATTTGCCGTAAAATGTATAGCCAATCTAACAGACGCGAGTGATCAGCGTTACAAAAGGAGAAAGGTGGTCTAATGGCTATCAATACAGTGATCAATGGTTTTTGTCCTTGAAGGACCAGGTCTTCTTTATATAGCATCAATAATTGTTTTTCCCAGGAAACAAACTGGATAATGGTTCAAATTCATCATTGACGAGCTTAAAAAAGTATAAAGAACCTTAACTTAATTGACAATTTCACACGAGCAAAAATGAAGGTTATAAACATAACATAGTTTGAAATCTAGAGTAACTAACCAGAAGGATATGACTAACCGATAAAAAGGTGATGATTAAGGTATGCGTATAATTACCAGTCGCTCCGGAGGCTTCAATGATAAGTCGGTCTATTTTACACAAAATTTGCAATGCCAATTCTGATCTTTTGCACCAGTTATTTATGAATCACCTATATTAAATTTGTACACAATTAAATTTAAATGATATAGAAATATGCATTGTGATTATAACGACGACGATGATAATGGTCATGGTGGCGGTTGTGGTGCTAGAGATGATGATGATGATGATAATGATGATGATAATGAAACTAAATGTTTTTCATACCGACTGCATTACATTACACTCCAACAGACTTATTAAAACAAAGGCAGTGAGTGAAGGAGTATGTCCTGCTTCTGTAGCTCCCTATAAATAAAAGAAAAGTTTGGATTAAATATCAGTCAAAAAGAAAATAAATTTAATGAAACATACTCTTATACTTTTAGTAATAGTATTATAATATCTCAGTTTCATATTTTGCATCATAGAACATTTTGTCATAGGGCAATACGCGTTTATAACTACCAAAAGGTTTCCAAAATGATCATCAATGTTCTGATCTTTAAAATTATTGATTTTAATTGTACAAAGCAAAGTAAAAACTGTTTCAGGGAAGGTGAAAACTTACTAGTGGACATTGCAAATACGGTTTATCATGTTTTATCAAAAGTGCCAATCACGTAAATTAATAGCTTTAAATTTCTTTTCTGGAAGCTAGTTTAAAATTGATTACCTTTAACCATGAACCGAACCTTGTGTCTTGTATCTCCTTAAATTCCCCTTTCGCGTTCATGTGATTTTTCAAAAAGGTTATGGTTGGATGAAGATCATTTTTCTCGTCTAGAAGATCATCGACAACAGTGTTAGCATGACAGAATACTTTGGCTACAAACGCTGTCAACCTTCATGAATTAAACATTATAAATATAATAAATGGCATATCATACACGTCAGAAAATCAATGTCTGTTAACCATGTAGACATAACAAATTTACAAACCAATTCTTTATGTATCAAACAGTACTGTAGAAGCAATAACCAAACGAAATGAAAGAATGAAACATTATCAATAATTGCTTACATTTCCCAAAGAAGCAATGTCGTAATTTTTTTCGGTGATTGCGATAAAATGGCTGAAATGAATTCTGTTTGACTGATATATACCCATATCAGTTTTTACCAAATGTCTCGCAATAATAAATATATCAGTGTATAGTGTAGTTATAACTTAAATTTCAAAATTAGATTTATAAGTTTTTTTGTTTTTGTTTTTTTTTTTGTTTAAATCAAAAGTTCATAGTTTGCATCTTGGTCTAATCTCCTAAGCAGATAAACATGAATTTGTATCATTTCTTTACTTAAACACATATAAAAAGTAAACTTGTAAAAATCTTTTAAATCAAAGTAAAATGTCAAAACAAAGCCGATCAATTCAGTGCTACCTTTGTTGTACATATCATCATAGCATCTTATCATTCATATAAAAATGCAATAATTTGAATAATAGATTCTCACTTATTCAAAACGTAAGAAAGAAAATCTGAAAGCCACTCGCCCCCAGATGGTAGAATGAAAAAATAAATGAAATAAAATTCCAAGTAAACGATAAATACTAGTTTAATTAGGTTTAATATATAAATCCAGTACTAATTTATTGGCATCTGTATTCCAGAAAGATTGTTGACAAAAGCGTCAATATATTGTGTTTCAATGCAAACTTTACTGTGTAGCGTTTCTAGCGCTGCAGCCATTATAAATAGGAAATACAATTTATTCACTATGGTCACGTGTCACAAGAGTGATTCGCAAAAATTCCGGAATACGGGTACGCCCGATCAATATTCGTTAATAAGTAGGCCCTAATCATATTTCAAGTTAATGCTTAACTCGATATACTTGTCATTATAATTACTACAAATCAGTTTATTCTTCCACTTTATGCTTGATACAAACCCGGATTCTATACGTCCTGGATCACAGGTCGCGATATTGTCCTGTAATATCACGTGGTATCAGAAATAACTTAAATGTATGATTAAAAAAGTATACCCTGTCGGCGGAAAAGCGATCAAAGTGTTAAAATAAGAACATTTTAAAGTGTCATTTCAATTTCATTGTTTTTGAAGAAAGATTTTGAAATATTAGTAAGACGGAAGATTTTCTGTTATCTTCTTCTGTCACCTCGGTACGGAAATAGACTCAGCCCGCTGTAGTTTGGAAAATAATTATATAAAATCTGAAGTGATCCATCTCTGGTCATCCCTTTTGAGACTGCTAACATTTTCAATTGTGACATTTCGGTGTACTTTAAATGTTGTTGAGTTTTGCATCTTTGCAGGATTTCATTTCTGAGTGGAAGACTTCAGGAAGTACTATGCTCCGGAAAACATCCAAGTTGTTATCATGATTATTTTATAGTGATTATACAAATGAAAAAAGTTCAAGGGCGTAAGTATTATTTTCTGTGCTAAATTTAGTTGGATAGTATTGTTGTTAAAAGCTATGGTGTCCAAAATTTAGTCTCATATGTGACTGATTTACTACATGATGGATGGGTCGAAATATCAGTATTGGAGGCATGCTGCTTAAAAAACAATACATTATAAACATGTATATTTTTAATAAGCATCACATCTTTAAAACGTGTTCAAGATATATTTGAATCACTAGGTTTAGCAAAATTCTTCTGATCATCACGGCAATAACTTATGCAGCATTAAAGTTTCTTCAAATTTTAGGAAGATTATTATCAATGACCCTATTCCATTATACCAATACCCTAGATGATAATGTTTACGATGGATTTCTTACCGCAATGCATGTAAATATAACTAACAGATTGCACCAAAAGAACTTATTTCATACATTGTGATATTTAAAGAAATGCGATGGCCTTTTGCTTATTTTTGAGCCAATGGTCATTCGTTAGTTAAGCTTTGTCGGTAAGATGTATGACAAACACGCTTAAAATATTTATATCTAAAAAAAGTTATGTAAAAAATCTGGAAACAAAGTCCCGCTATGAACTGATCATATGACATCCTCATTAACAATTGATCTTAGAGAATATTTATTTATTTCATATATATCATGTTATTTAACGTACCAAACACTTGTTGCTCTGTAAATGCCAGTATGTTTGTCATTATTACAACAGGAGTAGGAGCCATCTGAATGTCGGAACATGCTCTTCTCTCTATTTACACCTACAAAGATAGATTCGCGTTGATGAAGAACAGTGTTGTACGACGATAGGATGCAAAACAAACTATTGCTTGTTTGATTTTATTAAAAGGCGAAACTTTTGTTAAGGCTTGCGTCCGTCCACCCCGTTTAGTAAACAAAAAGATAAACATTACAGAATAACTGAAATAGATGTAAACAACTTTGTGGTCGCTACAGAATAACAAGGTACTAAAAATAAATGTACATAAATGTGCAGGTAATGACGTCTATCTGTATGGCAAACAGTCTTTCATACGAGTATGAAAAGATAGTTTCTTAAGCTTCTTTCTCAATCCTTTCAAATTGCTATTACTAATTTGTCATGTAAATGAATTATTACTAAGTAAACCAAATAATGTTAAAACAACAAGAGCCAGGAGATAACATGACTTAACCTTGCATGCATTTAAAGAATGTATTCCTACCATCTCGAATATGAGTATTGCCGGTGACCTCATGATCTGCCGTGACCTGATTGGTTTGCTTCAGATACATCATGGCGTAGACATTTGGGGCGGTTGTGGCAATCGTCTGCTCTCCACAACCATGTGGACATCGGAATAAGCTATCAACGCCGCTAAGTATAGTTTGCACTACGTTATCCATGACATTTGCTTTAATGAATTATATAATAAATTAACGCGGGTTTAGCTTAATGTAAAGCATGCATATACAAGACAACTGCGAGATAATCATAAATTATATCATATCGGAATTTCTTTAATTATTGGACACTTATCTCATTTACAGATGAAAACAAATTTGGTTATACAACTCAATAGAACATTTTCAAATATATGTTCTGTAATATAAACAAACATAAAGTTGTAGAAACTAGGACTGAGTCAAGAAGTGTATGCTTTCTATATTAAGAAAGACATGTTAATGTATTTTGAATAAATTTGGTATCCCGAATAAATATTTAAATAGCAATATTTTTAGACAGACTAATAATTTCGTGCTTGTCTTATTATCATTGCTCAGCACCCCCAGGCACAGAACTATTTGTATTTATTATTTACAGTTTCTACACTATATTATAATCAACAACAAAATGCAACGTTCAACTAACGTTTACCCAATAATTGCATTTTAAATTACTATATACGCATATTCTCTTAAGTTTATTTCTAAAAGTACTTTTAAATGCAATCATAAAAGTGCATGATTCCATCTCCATATGCGGGTTTCTATAAATTTTGTATGCCATGGTTTATTGTCACAATTCGTCATTATAAACAACATACCTTGTAAATATGCTATAGCCGATCCGGTACCTTGGATTGCTATATTTGGTAATGAAAGGTCGACTATAGATACTTGCTGTGCATGTCCAGTGTTGGAATATTTAACATCTGCGAAATAAAACATCCTTAAAACGGTTTGTCTTGTAAAATAGGTTTAATCAGAAAGCCTAAACTTGCAGTATTCTTGTTATTGATTTGTTTTTCATTAACTTTAAACAATCAATTAATGCTTTTATTCCAAAATGAGTAGGTAAAGAGCGTCGTCAGACAACACGAATAATATGAATTTATGCTGGCTTTCAAAAGATCTACAAAAATAAAGATTATATCATGATATTTTGTATTCTAAAATTATAACAGTGGCACAAGACATTTTTAAAAGTATTGCAGGTCAATAGTTAATATTTTACTTGCTGCCCTGAAGGGAACCTTACTTTTCTGCAAATAATGTTACTTATTCATACTTGTATTTACTCTGTCGCTATCTTCACAGTCTTCACGTTGCTTGTTTGGATCTAGACAAGCTTGAATTGTTATAATTTCCTGAATACCCTCGTTCTGTAAATAAAATGTGTGTGTATTATGACATCTTCTCTAAGACTTCTTCTCTGTTTGTGTGAAATGAATATAAAGGTATGCAATCAACAATATGCATACACAGTAGAATCCCTACTTAAGACAAGTCCAAAATTAAGATCACTCGCTATTAAGACCACTTTTTTAAAGTGACGGGATTTTCTGTTCTTAATGTCAATGGTTACATGGTCTAGAGTAAAGATCTCCTCACTTATTCACTTTTAAGACAACCAGGTTCAGTCCCAATTCTTTGTTTTATTCTTTAAATGAACCCACTATTGAGACAACTGACATTAAAATACAACAACTACCCGATCTTAAATTTGTTATGTTGTTATTATCTGCTTGAATGCTCTTAGGCATGTCACTTGATTTCACTAGTTGTAAAAACTGTAATAATTGGGATATTGCATGAAATAAGGTGAAATAGTAAATTTTAGAGTAATTTAATATTGCTTAATTTAATCAAGAGAGTGTTATTTTGTCGAAAGACAACAGTGCTGACGGTTTACTGTCATACCATCATACCAGGATAATTGGAAAACAATACTGCCACAAAAGAACAAATATTATTGCTACTCATATGAGAGTTCTATAGAAATGAATGAAAGCTTTAATATAACATACCACAACATAGAGATTTTTTTCGATAATGTCAACCATTGGCATTCCCGCTTCAGTGACGATGGCTGTAATTTTCACCGAAAATTTTCCCGCTTTCAATGGTATCAAAGGAAATCGGACAGTTGTGGCACTGTTTGGACCCACTTCAATTATTTTTCTTGGCGAGGGCTTACCCGGTGCTGTACCATAACATAAACCATCCACTGCCTCCAAGTACATGTTTGCCTTGAATTTAGCACACAGGAGAATGTTAATTGAAGTTCACCTTTAAATAGATCTAACTTCAATATCAAATAATTTAACCACATTGACATGTTTGCAGAGAAAAGGTCTCCGAAGAAACTTTATAATGAATTACAACTTTCGTTCAGAAGCATATAAATATTAGTACTTGATCAGATTTTAAAATTTATATATATATCTTTTGTGAATTTCCTCAAGTGATTATTTAAATGATAATTGAAACAGACCCCTTAACAGTTTTGACGGTGCTTTATTAAACAGTAACGGCGCATTACAAGATGACAAACCGATATGACTTTTGGGGGAAAAAGAAAAATAACAAGCCTTTAAAAAACATGAAACTGACTTTCTTTTGATAGAATAGCTTAAACCCTTACATAGAAATATTTTCTTCTTTTGTCCCCTTCTATCTGTAAAATCTTTCTTATTTCATTTGCTTTTTTAGTTTTTACATTGATTGAATTCACTATATATTTGTGCATCACATAATTTACAGGCAGAAATGATTTACGGAAATCAAATAGAGTCGGTAATAGTATTTAAAGAAACTTTTAAGAATTGAAAAAGATAATATAAAAGTCTGGAAACAAAATGATCCCTCGGAGGCATTAATCACAACAAAATTACATGAACATTGCAGACTCGGTTTGATTGAGTATGTTTATGAGGAATAATGAGTAAGTGCAACATCCTTAATATAAAGTCACTTTGGTTCGCCACCTTGATAAGCTGACATAGTGATGATATATGTATTTTCCTTACTGATTTAGGTGGATCATTTTCCTGTCCGTAATTAAACAGTGTAGCCTTAACGTCAAATAATTCAAATCTTGTTGCTTTGTATGGAAGGTCTAGTTGGATGAAAAATTTCCTAAAGACTCTTACATCTACTGGATCAGCAATACACATCCCAATGTTTTCAGTTATTCCTTAATAGGAAAAAAAAACAAAGTTAGCCAACTCAGTTGCCTGAACTAACTTTTATTATGTCGAGAAATAGATAATCATACAACAACATTTGTAAAATGATCATGCACAGATAATTCAATGACACCTGTTACGGTCCTTAAACCAAGACACGGCAAATTCGGTTCAGTATCCCAGTTTATTTTGACCAGAGCAAACAGGTTAGATAAAGATCAAAATATGATACATTGCAATAAATATATGTATATTTAACACCAAAATATAACATGATAAATGACAATAGAAAATATTTACAAAGTTATTTCTAAATACAGGGCAATGCTTTGCTTAACCATCGAAAATGAAAGAAGGGCAAGGTAAATTCCAAAGTTTTATTTCAATTCTCAAAGAAATAGGACTGACGTAACTTGAGTGTATCTTCAGGATGGTTACGCTGACTTAAACGTAAGAGTAGCATAATTTCACTGATAAGCAACACTTAAAATAAAAAGTACATTGTTAAAATTTTTTGAAAGGAGAAAATATTAAGGAACTCAAGCAATGAAAGTTTTAAATTACAAACCAATAGCTTGTATCATCCATTCTGTTATTGAATCCGGGTAACTATATGCTTTACTTTCTTTTCCTTTTCTAAAATTGAAAGTGAGTTTTACGGTTATCAAAGTGTAAAACTATTTACAAAAAGTAACCAAACTCTTTGAACCTTTTGAGCGTAATCAGAATGTGTGTGGTATGTAAACCACAGATCAATAAACACACCAAATTTCATTTTCTAGAAATCGAATATAAAACTTATACTGTAGTAATAGAGAGATGTTGAACTTGACAATGAAACTGTTCAGCAAATGTTTTTCTCTAAATATACCGTACAGGATTATCATTTAATGAATGTTTTCGTTGTCCGCCCCCCTCCCGGCATGGAAAACATCAGAATCGGTAAAATAATCTAGTTTGCTGGCTCGATCATCGGGCAAGACGACATTTCTTCGTGAAAAGGATTTCGGACATTGATTTTAGAATCTTATGGTCATTTGCCTTCCGCCCCTGATTCAGAACTCGCATACTTATAGATGTCGATCTCTTTTATTATTCCTGGTTATTTATCCACACGCATAGCTGTTGCACGGTTTTATTTTACTATGCGATTCCTCACCATGTAAAATATATCTTATTGTAATTCATTTTTAAAACATAATCCTCCTACAAGCACGTATAAAGAATAACAATAACCGGTTGCTTGATACAAAAGTCAAATAGATAAACGAGATGAAAATCTAATAGACCTGTAAACCAAATGTGAATTACAATAATTGACGTGTATTGTTACAAAATGTTACTAGAATAACAGCAGTGCATATTTTTATAAACCCCCGACTTGCGATTTTTGGCACGAAATGTGTCTTCATTTTTCTGCAGATGTCTTTCCAGGTGAAAAAAGTGCATTATCCCTGTATTACAATTAAAACAAAATCATCTGTTTCAGTGATGATAATAGTAATAGCTTGAATAGCAATTATGTTAACAATACATGTTTAACTTATTATTTTTAAGATTTTGAAAGTAAATAAACTGTAACGGTAAAATACTATCTACTAACAGATCTAACTGTACTTCTTCAAACATGAAGGACTCCCTGAAATCAGTTCGTTTATGAGGTCTGACTTTCTCGTTTGCGAGGAACTCCAAATCTTGTGCATAATGACTGACGGCGTCTTCTAATGACCTGGACGAAAGTTGAGTAACCTCTAAAATATATAGTGATTATTTTACCCTATGCATAATTGTAATTAACAAAAGAAAATCAAAACTTGTTTGCTAATGCAAGGTATTGTAAATGTTTTATATATATTTATTATGTACGCTTTATAACTATTATTACATAATTAAATATATTAAAGGCAATACAATTAATAATAACAATAATATCGGTAATAATAATAATAATAATAAAAAAATAATTATAATAATAATAATAATAATAATAATAATAATGATAATAATCATTATAATAAGAATTTATTACAAACGTTTTATACCATTAATTTCAGGACAGTATTTTCTTCAGAAAGAAATGTTCAGTTAGTTAAACAGTAAATAATAATATTTATTTAATTTACCCATGAAATATGGTGCTATATCAGTCAAATATATTTCATATTTTTAAAAAATAAAAAAAAATATGAAATATAAATATGAAAGTGGGCGGAGTCGAAACTTATATTTATTTTAAGGGACTTCTTTCGCCATTTTGTTTGAAAAATCTGAGAAATGCAAAACAACTTTTGTTGAATTTTGTTTTGAAAACAATCTAGAATGATATAAAATGGTCTAACTTAGAAAATAAATCCGAACACCAATATCTTTAATTCAGTTATAAACGCTGTACAGACGTTTAAAGAGTTGTTTACGTGACGTCACAATGTAGCGCCATATATCGCGTACAAAAACAAGACTGTACAGTTGCAGTTGCGTAGCAATCAATCGGGTTCATAACCAATTTCCTTGATAATGAAATTAAATAAAAAGGTTTTTTTTTCGTTTCTCGTGAAATATGGTATATATTTTCACTCAACATGATAAAATGCCACATATTTTCACTCGCCGTCCCGGCTCGTGAAAATATGTGGCATTTTATCATGTTTCGTGAAAATATATTCCATATTTCACGAGAAACGAAAAAATATCCTCTTAATATTACAGCATAAACAATAAAATGGTATGAATTATAAAAAAAGAATTGACATTGATATTTCATAATTGGCGTTATAAATTTAATGTTTACCGAGATGTGATAGATCAAATATAACAATTATAAATACATGTTTGCACTTTGGGCTTTGATACGTTTACAAGCAGCGGTGTTTTATATATTAGTGAAATATGATTTCATCAAAATATCTATTGACCAATTTTAAAGCAATATTTGAATTTCAATAACACAAAACGCAAATTTGCATACATTCTGTTTTCAAATGATTGATATTTAAGTTTCTGTTTTTCATAGACATGTAATTTTAAAATTGTATGCTAGACAATATCAGGGTAATTTTGTTAAGTCCAACTATTTCAAACCCATATTAGGGTAGATAGGTTAATCAATAGTATAGTTACTTGATAATGCCGCAAATTATAAGATAATGTAATGTGAAATATAACACGACCTGTCCACGAACAACGCACTCAACTTTCCCGGTGATGGATAGTTAAATAAATCAACATAGAAAACTTTGCAAAAAAAAGGAATTTTATGATTATCTGCATTTTGATGTCGCATCCTTTGATGATAAAATAAATTATATATCAAGTTTGAAGTTGACAGCGTTGATATTTTCTGAGAAAATAGAATTCAGAAAAAAGGAGTTGGTCAACAACGAAAGAGTCATGACAGTTGCTCCACATTTGTCTTAGACAAGTGGAGCTAATAAAGACCATCTTGATCATTTAAATATCACCGTTGTAGTGCTAATAAGTATGAATTAAAAATTGAAATACAACCAAAAAAGTAATATTTGCAATGTGAATGACTCAGTCTACTTACCGGAAATCAATGACACCATCATATCTATACATGAGTGCAAGATAGACTGTATGCATCTGATTTCATAGTGGTTAGTTTTAAATGCTTTCTTTGCAGCAGAGTAGCACAAAGTGTACGGATCTAATTTTGCCCTTTCTTCCTTTGCAGTTTCGTTAATAACTGTCTCAGCATACCATTTACCATATACACAACATCGCTCATCAGCACCATTGCAATCTATAATAGAAAATTAGAAATAATAAATGTTAACAAATAATGCATACCATGTCAGTAGTCAAAAGGGGGGGGAAGCACATTTGTCGTGCATGAACAAGTGCAGAAGCAAGAAAATAAGCATATAGCCCATGATATTTGATAAATCCTAAAGCCTCTGCGCTCAAAATTGAAACTTTGTCTTATAGAAATTACAATTCCAAACATCAAGTCTCCGAAAAGAAGATGTCTGAATACACATTGCCTTGTTTAAATTTGAGTTGAGATATGATATTACATGTACATAAAAATGAAATAAGGTTTAATATGCAAAAATAAATATTATGAAACAAACACTTAAATTCCACAATTCTGATTCTAATGACAATAAGAAAATACCATCAGCAGAACGTCTTTTACGAGCGTTTGAATCACATCCTTCTTGTACACGGTACATAACACGATCAACATCAGCATTGGTCAAAATAGAAAATCCTGCGTTCTGTAAAAGGGGTTTTAGAAATATGCATTGTCAATAGCTGAACATCTTAGTGATACAGCGATATGCATATAATGCATGACGTAATGACTTGATGTCAAACTAACCATACCCTATTTATATTAACGAGTTTATTCAATTTTTTGTTTGTTTGTTTCATTTTACGCTTTTTTTGTTAATTTGCACGATTAATTTATTGTAGCAACATCAGATTAATTTTCACTTTATAAATACCCTGATCACAGTTATTGACATAAACGAAGTCGGATCATTTCAAATAATTTTGTATTTTTTTTCGTTTTCATTTCTTCTGGCAAACATATATTTCAATTACACTAAAGATGACATTTATAGCAACAAAAATACATACCTGAAGCATAGCGGTGATACTGTGATAACATAAAGTAAGTAATGCTTAGAGAGGTTTGGGGGTTGCGTTCATTGAACGCCACCTTTCCTTGTTGATCTTGTTTATCATATTTTAGAAATAAACATAAAAAATACAGATGTGGTCCATTATAATACTGTATGGTTGTACCGTCAATCGTGGCGTTTACATAAACTATATATATGGCTGGTCTTAATTTATGGATAAATTTATTTTTCACTTCGAAGTTTGCTGCATAAAAATTCGTTGTAAGAATTTTGGCACTCAGGTAAAATGAACAGATATACAGTATTACAAATCGAGAATCTTTATACGTAAATAATGTTACATACCATGATTAGAGAAAACTTTAATCATAGCGGTGGAAATAATATGTTGATATCATACTAAGGGACAAACGTGAACAATAGTGACTATTATTATTGTCGAAATTACGCGTTTTGCTGGTGGCTTAAGCGGCGCTGTTGTTTTAATCATTTCAAGCCACTACTATAATAGACACAATTATTGACATACTTACCTTAAAAACATCTCCATTATTTTTACCACTACCTTCACCGCATCCAAGGTCATGTGACCTTAAAACATCGAACATCTAAAATGTAAATAGCATTTATTGTTTTGTTCCTTTATCAAAGTTCTTTTAAGTATTTACAAAAGTTTTTGATAAGCCCGATTGATGAATTGCAAATGAAGTATTTGTTATGCATAGTTTTATTCTGGCTCGTAAAAAGGAAGTGTTAGCCTTTTAAAACAAATAAATCTAACATAGCAGTTTTTCGAATTTAAAAATATTAAATTTTTAAGTTATTTTTTACGGAATGATTTTTGTCACATTATGAGTAAGAATTATTTGATGTTTTCCAAATCAATTTACTTAATAGGCATCGCAGACACTCTATTCTGACACTAAAATGTATTATTGCTATGGGCCACTCGAGTATATGCCAACTCTTACAGTTTTTGGTTATATATCAGTTGTTGATCTATCTAACCGACTTTCCTGAATTTCTTACCAATAATAACCAATTTCTTCATAATTGATCGACTACTAACCCCACATGCATATTTGATCAGCGTTGAGAAACACATATGATTAATTGTCACGAAAACAGTTCGCCTCACTAGAGCCTTCCCTGGGCATATGAAAACTGAGAAGTCGATACAGCAAGACGATTTGTAGACTTCTCGGAACAGTTTTAGTTTTCAAATATTCACAAATACCTTACATTAAAAAGAAAATAAAGAAAGTATTTATTGAATCAAAGACAGAACATAGTAAAATTGAAAAAGTTAAATATCATAGTGCACGTTTCAAAGAAGATTTTTCTTACCTTATTTTTCACCAAAATGTTTTTATCATTCAGAAGCAACAAGGCCTTATCAATGACATTGAGGCCAACCCAAGAAAAAGGTGTTCCAGTTATAGTCAGCTGATCTCTTGTTCCAGGTAACGGCGCAACACTATCAGGTTTTAAAGATAACTACAATTATAAAAGTAATAACTGTCATTTAAGTGGAAATATGTTAAAAACTCATTGTTATTTCGTAGAACCAACGATCTGCAGTAGGCTAGAGCTAGTTAGCTTTCATAAATGAAAAATAGATTCAGATAGAACTCTAAAGCAAAGCGTAGAGGTACATGCCACTTGAACGGAAGCCCTTAAGCGTTGGATTTGGCAGAAGAAAATGCAATACCTATTTGGATAGCAAAGTTTCATTTAATATGAAATAATCCAAAGGCATCGGCAGAATTCAAATGTACAGATGTTCGCAGAGATTCATCATAAAAACATCTGAGGCATGATTTATAACTTTTTATAATATTTCATTCTTTATCTTAGAAACAAAGCATATATGTTTCATATATAATTGCATGTTTTTTTTATCGTAAGAAATACATACCCCTCTTCCTCTACATTTTGCATCAACGTCAATTTTGATAGAGTCTGCGACAACCTTGTTCGAGTTTTCGTCTACGTAAAACACCAACAGCCTTGCTGTGGGATTGATTAATTCTTGCAAAAAATCATCAATTTGTTCGACTGCTTTGTTGCTAGCTTGCTTGAAAACCGCGTGGACAATTTTACCTCTTGTTACAACCTAAAACCAGGTCAATAAAATACAGTCATCCCGGAAAAGACTTAAACAATCAAAGTACCGAAACATTTTTTTCGGCATTGTATATAATTATCACGGGTAATTACGTCAGCTAGCAGCCGCAAGTTTTTAAATATAATCTTAACGTTTTTTTTCAACAGCCTATGAGAATTCAAGTAGAGAAAGTACTGCAAACCGGTAACACATTAGAACTGAATGAAGGTTTATAAAACAATCTGTAATGTTGAAATGGATTTTAAATAGAGGATATTGAATGAGTGTAGGTTTAATACTAAATTTATTGAACGAGTTGAATAAAATCATATTATGCGAGCCTCTGGCGAGCATACTTTTGTTTTATTCAACGAGTTCAATAAATTTAGTATTGAATCTACACGATTATATTATTCTATTTATCACATATATAAAATAAGAACGGTAAACTGTTATCAAGAGTCAATTTTCTTTGACGCGCCTATAGTGTAACGCAAACATTAGCGCGCTTTAATAACGCTATGTTTATAGCGTAAATGACGTGACGTTAAAGTGTTATTACACTATACACTATAGTGTAATATCGTCTAGTATAATATTGTTTTTATTAATTGGCTTTTCACACTCCTGTGTCGCGGTTTATGTGATAAATACGTTTGTTACACACAGCTATGTTTAGGATTCACCGAGAAATGAGTATGCAGAATTACTGGAAAATAACCCACCACAAACAACATTCCAGTGTAACTCGACACGGCATTTCCGAGCTGTACATTTGAGAAAGCATTCATTAACATAATGTTGTCGTCCTGAAAATATAATAAATGTTGAAAAGTAAATAAAAGTTATGATTCCACGACAATGAATTCTGGTACATTTACATTTACTAAGGCAATAAAAAAATTGGAAGTGGACTGTTTACTACTCCTTTTTTACAGCAAAGTGTTACACAAGTGATTAATTATTAAACACGCAATACAATTGTGACAAGGGCTAATTTAGGAAGTGGCTAGCCGTACGGGCCCGTACGGCTAGCCAAAAGTTCTAGCCGTACGTGAGTCACGTACGACTAGCCAGGACAAACTGTATTGGCTAGCCGTACGGCACTTTTCAAAAATATATGGAAGGCGAAAGTACATATGTTAATTATGACTTTAAGCGAGGATTTTAGTCAAGAATTTTTACTTTTTAGAGATCAATCGACGTGTTGGCTTCAGTAAAGAATGTACGTACTTTAATTGTCATCTGAAGACGTCGAGAAAAAAATAGCGTTTGCCATGGTTGCAGTTAAATAACATCAATTGAAATAGTTTACAAAATTTTGATAACAATCCTTTTTTGTTACATTAACTTTAATTTTTAAATTGAAAACGTGACTCACGTACGGCTAGAACTTTTGGCTAGCCGTACGGGCCCGTACGGCTAGCCACTTCCTAAATTAGCCCTTGTCACAATTGTATTGCGTGTTTAATAATTAATCACTTGTGTAACACTTTGCTGTAAAAAAGGAGTAGTAAACAGTAGAAAATTAAACGTACACTATATACTAGTCTGATGCTTTGTAGTTTCGGCAAATACAAGTAGTAAAATATTTACAATATTTCAAACAGATAACCGTCAAGGCCATGATACATGTATATGTTTTTAATACATTTATCTTGATTTTTGTTATCTTATATTTCAAGACAATCACATAACGATACGACATAAAATACACGAATATATAATAAGGTTTAGATAACGTTGTTAAAGAGCATATCTAGAAGGTTATTTCCTAAATAAACTTTTACATGATAATTCAGCAAGCAAAATATCTAAACACATTATAATCGTTTTGAAATGTTCATTCTGAAAGCCTATTTTAAGTCTTGTTAGATTATTACCATTTACGACACATTTTTGTCTGATACAATACTTGTTCTCCTTAAAGAAAAACTCACGGTGGTAACGCGCTCCACTAGAATTTGGTTTTTATCATCATACCCTATAACTTCAAATATATCGCTTTCTTGTCTTTGTGCATCGCGTGATCCAATGACCTGTTAAATAAATAATTTTATTGTAATTATCACTGTATTTTGTTATGCGATAACATAATGTTTCAACCATGATAGTAAGGATATATATATATTTTTTAAATATTCTTAGGTAAGATATGCGCTTCTATTTTTATAACAAAATGTCGTTTGCTATCGTATCTTCGTGATTTCGCAATTCGTAACAACAGATTGGATGTAAATTAGCAACAATATTATACATGTACAAGAAATTCCAAAAAAAAAAAACAACAAAAAATATGTTTTCACAAATAATATACAGACATGATTATTAGCCTTTTTCTGGAAAAAATATTCTTGGAAGCAATGTCTTTTAATTTTATGATGCGTTTTTCAATTTCTTTCTCAGTAATGTTACATAAACGTATTTTCATCAAACTTACCTTGAATCTAAGACGGTTACTCTGTGCTGTATTCTCAAAAATAGCAAGTGCTTGTCCGTCGCTATCTGTCAATGCTTCTTCAGTTTCAACAACCCCACCATTGTCATTAATTTGCTCCACTGTTATTTTCTGACCTTTAGCAGGGACACCGTTTGGCATGTTCAAATCAACCTGTTACCAACGTGTACAAATAATACTCATAAGAGATCAATAATCAGTTTTCCTCTTAACCAAAGAATTTGGGTTTGAATACTGCTATGGTCATTTTCATTTTTCTCCTTTGCCATAACACGTCCAGGGAGTGAATTCGAGAGAAGTTTAAATAAGCTTTAAACCATATAGATAGATACATATCCAACTATTTTACCAATATTAATCAAAATAAATAAATCACAGAAAAAAAATGTTTCTAAGTACCTTTAAATAGTATCCCATTCCTGGTCTAAAAAATCGCTTTGATCTAGTAAATTTGAAAATGAATGGTTCTCTAGCGAAAACTGTTTCGTCGTTATACATGTTTTCCTCTTTCCCTGTCGCACTTTCAAACACTGTAGCAATAGCTACAAGTCGACCTCCATCCGGATATTGTAACTTCCTAAGCTCCTCAGACCCAACAATGTTTACACTGAATTCAGCCATACCCCGCTCAAGCTAAAACAAACAAAAATATACGGTGAGGTGCGAGTGATTGTTTGTCTCTAAGAACTGAACAGGAAGGCCGCTCATCGATATGTAACAAATTGCATTTTATACTGTGAATGTTCATTTGAGGTCTTATGTTGATTATCTTCATGAAATATTCGTAAGATATTTTCTTTAATTAGTTAGATTCTTTTTGTCCAGCAATATGAATATGACATCTTTTACATACGAATGTGTATATATTAACCAGTATGTGTTTAACAGTAAACAATACCATTTTTGTTGCCAAAGCTCTCACCTCTTCGCCACCAACAAATACAAAAATAAATGCAAAAATTACAAACTAAGTATAAACACGAAGTTTACCACAAACTTACGACGTGACAAGGACTTTAAAAAACTAGTAAAAAATTCACTTACTTCTTTTCGGTCCATGCTGAAGAGATATTCACTTTGCCCATTCGCATATGTTACATTGAAAGACAATCTTGCTTTTCCTGCTACCGGCTTTCCGTACACATATCTTATTTAATAAAACATATTTATAAATAAAACTTTTGGCGAGAACACAACCTTAAATTACTATAGAAGCTCATCTTGTTTAAACAACCAATAGAAGTTCATGTTTTCTTAAGAACCCCCAATTGCAATAGAACCCCATGTTGTCTATATAACCGCTACTTGCAATGATGCCTCACTCTGTTTACACAACCTCTACTTGAAATAATAGCTAATTTTGTTTACACAACTTCTACTTGCAATAATAGCACATAGTGTTCACAAAAGTGTAACTTGTAAACAGCACGCTGTTCACATACGTTCTTCTTGCATTTACAGTACGTGTTGTTCACATAAATTCTAATTGAAATGCTATTACATTTTGTTCTCATAGGTTCAACTTGCAACAATGCCTCATATTGTTCATATAAATAATTTATTATTTTCTTACATAAGAACCCCAATCCGTTTACATACGATGTTCTTGCAATGATAGCACATGTTTTGCACATAAGTGCTTTTTATAAGAATAGTTCATGTTGTTCCTCTTAATGCATATTATTGATGCAAGTGGCGGTAGACATCCATTAAGGCATGGGATCGGAAGCTACACAAATTATCATCTAACATGAAACAAAAATCAACAAGGAAGGTTGGAGTTAATGATGTAAATATTGAAAGTTTGTGTAACATGAATTGATGACTGATATTGATTATATCTTTCATAACATGAATTTGTACATACTTTGCTATGACAGTGAAGTCAATCTTAGAATCATTGGGATGATTCATCAAAATGTATTGCTGTGACACGTCAATGGTGACACCGAATGTTGGCAGGACTGAAAAATTGTACTAATTATACATATTGTTCAGAAAAATAAAATAGCCTATAACAAGAGTATTACATGTTTAAACCTTATGGTGCTTAAAATGGCCATTTTTTCGAAAGCTGGTTTAAAGCTTTTCTTATAAAGCAATTGAGCCATAAACATATTTTACTTTATTGTATTATTAGAAAAGAACTTTTGTGTACCTCGTTTAATGTACTATTCTGTAATTGAAGATTCATTTTCGGAAGCATAATTAAGTAATATTGTAAGACATGTAAGCTTGTTATTGTTACTGAAATATTCTATTTTTAGAATCATTATTTATTTATTAAATAATTACTTTTTGTCATTTTTAGCACATAAGTAATGTATACGCAATATTCCTATTCAAACAAGGACAGTAAAGTAATTATATTGTTTTCAGCATTCTTATAATTCACAATGTGTAAACGTTCCTAAAATTGAATGTTACCTATCTCCGAATTTCATGTTAGATTGTTGACATTTTAGGAAACACGATCATTCCTTTATTCCTGGATTAACATGTCTGTTACTTCACATTTTTGTAGTATCAATTATGTTTTGATGTTATAATCAGTAATTGTTCATGAAACATGTTCTAATCAATTTATTTTTGTCAAAATAATAATTCCTAAAACTTTCCCAAAATGTTCATGGAGGCTGCCATCTTTGTTTTAGATACACGAGTACCAAGATCTGTAGTTTGTTTAGAAATGAAGCATATTTGACTTTATTGTGTAACATGTATTTTGTATTATGTGATTATAATGTTTGCTTCTCAAATTGTTTAAGAGATTTATTGTAATAATTTATTTGTGTAAAACAAGACCCCACTATTTGTTCGGTCATTCATGTAGTAAAGTTGGGTTTTGGAAGCACCCTAATTCTGTTTAAATTGTAATAATCCTGCTAAATTACCATAAGTATTTTACTGAAATGTATTTAATAGCATAAGTGTTATTTCTCAACATAATGATTACTTACACCTTTATATGTTTACTTTGAATTTGTAATTATGATCTGTTGAGATGTTTACTCATTTTAGGATGGGAATTCCTAACCGATTGTGATTGGCTTAGATAAATCCTAAGTGCAATCTGATTGGTCGGGAATCCTTTCCTAAATTCCTAAACGGCTCAAAAGTTATAAATAGAGCGACAGTCCTCATTTTGGAACAACAACGCCCACTAAAGTTGCTTAGGCGCGATAATTCCAAACTGAGCAGAAAACATCAAAACTGAATTTTAGTAAGTTTCTATTTAGGAAAGACTCCTAAATCAAATTGGAATACGTATTAAACTTTTATTAAGCAACTTTACCTGAATGAGAGCTGACGTACTTCATGTTATAACTTTTAATCCTAAATTAAACGAATATTAGACCAAAGAATCCAAACTTGATAAAAGCGTTGTTGACTTATATATATATTATGAAATCATCAAATCACTTAAAATAGCGCCTTATGAAATGATGCTGAAACCTATTTCTGTATATTGATGATAGGATATATTAAATGTTAGTATACAAAAGCAGTTTATGTATACACAACTGATGTATACACTATTAAACCAAAGAATTGAAACTTGATGAAAGAGTTCATGAACAGGCTCATGAACAGGCCATGAACAGGCTCAATCAAACCGAGCCTGCAACATTTTCAATTTTGCCGTGTTGGGCTTTCTTTAGGGATTCTGTATTTATCTATCTTGTATTATTTTTCCGGAAATCCTAAAGAAAAGAGTCTACTAATATAACATTGAAACCAGGTGCTGTATATTACTGATGCTAAGTTAGCATATAATTATGTTTATACAGTAGAAATTGTGGCGTATTTTTGAAACAGCTATCCTGACACTGCGGCAAAAGTTCGTTACAATATATCTACTCTTAACATGAAAAGTAAACTTTCAAGCGTATTCTTTGTATAAAAAGGTAATCCGAGTCTCAGAACAACAAAATGCAATAGCTCAAGTTATGCTGAAACGTGCGTAAAATATTATTTTTTATCAGTCGTCTTGTTAACACGCATGTGTGAATTTTTTTATGGTTTCTAAACTGTGGAAAATAAACCCATTTAACCTGTAGAAATAGATGCATGAAAATAATAGAATAATTGGCAAATTTAATTCATGATAATTCACTAAGTTAATTTAAATCAAAAGTGTTGTTGGCAAGAGGTCGGAACGTAATATCACGAGATAAATTCTACTCGTGGGAAAATGTTAGATCGCAGCTGAATTGTTCGCAGATTCTTTCATAAAATAGGTTAATAGATAAGAGTTTTCCAAGAAAACGTACTTTGTAGATATTTTTTGTTCCATATTGACGTGCATGTGTCTAAAATCTAGAACCAACACTATGTTTACGATGTTTAAGTTAACATATGAACAACTCTTTGCCAAAAATCAAATGTTTGGTAACTTTTTAGAATATTAGCAATGAATAAATACAAAAGAAATACGTTTTGTAAAGGTTTATTCCTATTCAAGAACTATCGGTCGCGGAATTTTGAGCGGAGCTGGCAACACTTAGTTTAATTTAAAACTTTGCCAATCTTTATAGGAAGTCAGTACGATTTTATAATTTCAACGGCAGCATTATACGATAGCAGAAACAATGTATAAAGAAAGATTTCCGCATTTGCCTTAAAATTGAAACAGAAAGATTATCATATTTACATAATAGAATCAAATAAATACATTACCATATTCCTCAATTTGAAATTGGGATCTTGCTACCGTTTCATACTTAAAAGAAAAAAAAAACGTAAAAAATACACATGTAGCATTTCATTAAAACACAAACCAATGCTAACGTTATTTTTACATGTAGATTAGTCATAAAACGATACCAGTTATTTTGCATTACGGTAGCTAGTTATCTCTCAATAGAACAATACATGTACCAAATGAAATAGATTTGAAACATCTGTAACAAAATGGTTATATTGTTCTGCAATATTGACCTGAGACATTTGAAAATTCAATGACGTTTTGTAGGTATTTATCGTATTTAGAAGTAAATCAGACAGAGTGTAGGTTATTATCAGATTGCGAATTGAATCATAGGAGTTGTAGGTAATTGTTGGATTCCGAAGTAAATTATACGCATTTCAAAGCCTCAGGGACAAGATATTAGGCTTTCAGTTTCAAATTGCATTTGAAGGTTGTATGTTTCATACATGATGAAAAATTATTATATTGTTTTTTAATTTATATAAAACTTGACCTCAATGTTTTGTGTATCCCTAATTGAAATTGATAAGCTACATATTTATGAAACAAATGAAATGAAATTATTATCAGTTAAACTTATGCCTTTATCTACTCTTGCTGCATAAAATCAAAACTGCCAAGAAAAAATAATAATGAAAGAAATCCTAAATATGGTTCGATGTCACATCGAATTATATCGACGCAATCACATTTCCGTTGTACTTGCTTGCCACAAGGACATCATGTCGTAATTGTGTTACTAGTATTTAAGTAACGAGACTAATACTTTCATGAAAAACAATGCGTAACTCGTAAAAAATACGAAAACTACCTGAAAGTCTCCCGAAATGAAAATCAGGTCCAGGTCAATATTCCAAACAATGCAATAACAATTCAATAGTATTGTCCAACACCATTGACCTGGCACTCTTGCGTTTGACCCTGTAGTCGGAATATTACGTAAACTTTATGATATACTTGTTAATCATTATGAATGTAAATATCCAATTACTAATATGGTGTTTATTAAAAAATCCCACTAAGCACAGTTGGTAAGGGTTTTAACTTGAAAATGTAGACATAAACTGGTAGGTTCGAATCCTTTTTTAGATTTTCAGATATTTTCTTACTGTTTTCTTTTAGTTTTAAAATTGCCCTTTTCTTAAAACTTTTGCAAACCTTTTGGTTGTGTGTACTATCTTTATGTAGTATTTTAAATAACTGCCTTTATAGCGTGTATGCGCTAAACATCTATGATTGCATAATGTCATAAAGAAAACCGTTGAAAGATACTTTAATGAGATACAAAATATAAATGTGTATAACACACAATTTAAAGGTATTAAAAAACCAGGTTTAGTAAAACTATTTCATATTAATTCTTGCAAGACAATTTAAAACAAATCATAACGTGGTGTTGGTAAGGAATCGAACTAGATGTTCAGATCGGTCGTACAACATCTTTACCAATACACAACACGTCACTGACGAGAGAAGTTAGCAAATATATGGATATATTCTATAGATACTGGTCATTGTCTATTCAAATGACCTTTACGAAAGTTAATGAAGTGCCAGGTCAATATTGTAGGACAATAGCAGTCATCTACAATGAAAGTCAATCAAAACAAAGGGTTTCAAACATATACTTGAGGTATGTTTTTAATATGTACAATTCGAATGTAAATTGACGGTCAGTTGATAACAATATTTTTTATCTCTCTGATAAAGTTACAGTTGGACACTGTGTCTTGAAAAGATTAAACATAATAAACAATATTGCATTTAATTAATTAATTGATTTAAAACAAACATACATGGCCGCCATAGAAGGCACGAGCTGTCCATGTTCCAATTTCCGGGTAAGGCGGTAAGGAAAATGCATTTTGGTAAAACCCACTTGAACTTGTGCTCGTAAAAACTCTTCTCCCAAGAGTCAGGTTTGAGGGACTCTGTAAATAATGAAATATGTATTTTACAAATATGCAAATACTCGGATATATTTCATTTGCATTTTACAATTTTTGAAATTTTGAAATCTAATAAATGTGAAATGTATAAAATTACGTAATTACAGTTAGACTAACGGAACATAAAAGCACAATATTTTGATTGTCAATTAATATGATTATCTTTGTCCAAAACGCTGAGTGTATAATTTCCTTAGTTATAAGGTTATATTCCCACGGTATATCCCATCAAAAAAACATTATGTCTACCATTTCGACCCATTCTGATTAAACAAACATACATGTACGTTATGAACATTGTTTAGCTAAACATTTTATCAGTATACCATTATTTTTTCTTAATGCTTTTCCATTGCAATTCTTTTTGTAATAGATTTACTCCGGAATAAAAAAAAACTTTCCCGAGATTTACACAAATAAGCGCCACAAATGGACAAATATATTGTGAGATGTAGTGCACCGTAAAACTACAACGGTAAAAGTGTTTATACAAGGAGGTTATGTGGGGGTAAACAAGACATTTGCCTAGTTCCGGATATTCATCACATTTTATTCTGATATAACGATGTCCTAAAAATTATTCTTTTCTTCATGCATCAACTTACGACGATGTCCAGATGTATTTGCCATTGATCACCCGACACCCTCTTCAATGACTCATCAAGGGCTAAAACTCTTATCTTCACTAAAAGTAAAACAATAGCGCATAATTAAATAAGGTACAATTTTCCCGTTAACGCATTGAGTGACCTGGCAGTGTGTTTGTGTGCGTGTGTGTGTACGTGTGCATGTGCGTGTAAGTTTGCGTGTGTGTGTCTGTGTGTGTGTGAGTGTGCGTGTGTGTTGGTGCGTGTGTTATGGTGTGTGTGTGAGTGTGCGTGTGCGTGTGACATTATACGTAACAACTCATTCCATACACGTTTCCATAGATGGGAGCATAGGTACGAAACGAAATATAGGTTGAAACTGAAAATAGTTATATCTGTCAAGCAGCAAACATCATTGTGAGTGATTTGAGAAACATTATTTAAGAGTCAACTTTTTAGGACTACGTGCACAGACCCTTCCATTGGGAGATCTTTCATCAGCTTTAATCTTTTAAACCTACTTCATTAGTTTTTTTTCTCCTTTTCTACAAAATATTCTCAACAAATTTAGTCTATGAAAATTTGCACAAACATAATGGGAAATCAGAGATTATTTAAACATCAAAAGAAAGTTCCTGCTACGACGTATGTAAAGCTAAGGAAAGTCATCACTACGATTGTGGTTTAGCAAAGGAATGTTCCATCTACGAAGGGATTAAAAAAAAGATGGTGTGTTTAGCAAAGAGAAGTTTTTTTTACTACAGGGTTTAACCTACTACGATTGACATAATAGCATTTAAAGTGTTTTTACGATTGGGGTTTAGATAAAGAAAGTGTTTGTTTTTCTGGAACATGGTTTATGTTTTCCTGCAATGGGATTCAATCAAGGACAGCTTTTGCACTACAACAAATTTTATGCATTTAATTTGAATAAAACCTTATTGTTATACCAAATATTAATCGGAATCGGGGTATTCTAACCGCGTACCAGAGTCAAAGGGCTTTCCATCATGAAACTTTCTACCTCCAGACAGTCGCTTATCATCACAACTGAACTGATTCATACAGTTTCCTATAATTTTTCCATATTTGGTCGTGTTTTCCATGTTATCGTCTTTTTAACGTTTCGATTAATATTTGCCGCCATTTTATAGACAAAAAAATAAGTCAAATGTTTGGGAATCTACACAATATTATGGACAATTTTTTAAGATCCTGTAACACAATTTTTATGGTTTTATATCATAAATATGATGCTAAATTTAAGATTTATCAATATTGTAAGTTCCAAAAAGCATAATTTTTACAGATATTTCCGAATTTAACATTGAAAATTGTTTTATAAGCATAATTATATACATAAATAAAAGTTTAATTAAGTGTGGTAACAACCTCAATTACAACATACAGGATCTTTAAACGAAATAATATGAAATAATAAGACAAACCGTCCTGTAGTGGAGTATATATAGGTTTATCCGTCTGTACGATCAGATACCCCGTCTTGTAGCTGAGTACTACGGCATTGCATATTTTGTTCTCGTTTCCGCGTTGTGAGCAAAGATTGATAATTCTTGGTTTGTCGTTTATAACAGTGTTGAAAATATCCGACTCTGTCACGTTTACTGTTGTGTAAACTGGGGATGCTGAAATCAATTGAATAATATTGAAAGAAACATTTACAAATGAAAACAATTTGCATAGAATGAAGCTAGGACAAACATTGTTTGACTTTGAACCGGTAAAAACACATAAATACATCATACACATACAAATGTGATTGATTAATGCCAGGATAGGTAATTGTTAAATATCAGTGTGTTATTGTAATACATTTCTTCGATATTGTTGTTTCGGTCAAATTATATTCTAACTAATTTGAAATCATCAAGAGTCCTAATGTCTGTAGAAGTTGTAATTTGCGCTTGGGCATTAAAACTTTTGGAAGGTTTCTCATTGTTTTGTTAAGCACGATATTCAGGAGTAGGTTTTGCGAGATATGTAGACGGTATTTTAGTGGGATAATACGGTGGCATAGAGGTGGCATTTGCAGTTTTATTTTATCTCGTGGCCACGACTTATTATCTTGAGGCCTCAAGATATTATCTCGTGGCCACGACTTATTATCTCGTGACAACGACGTATTATCTTGTGGCCTCAAGATATTATCTCGTGGCCACGAGTTATTATCTTGTGGCCACGAGTTATTATCTTGTGGCCACGAGTTATTATCTTGAGGCCTCAAGATATTATTTCGTGGCCACGACTTATTATCTCGTGGCCACGACTAATTATCTTGTGGCCACGAGTTATTATCTTGTGGCCTCAGGATATTATCTCGTGTCCACGAGTTATTATCTTGGGGCCACGACTTATCATATTGAGGCCACGAGTTATTTTCTTGTGGCCACGACTTATTTCAGCCAATGAAAATGGTCGTTTCATCTTGAACAAAAGTTAATATCAATAAGACCTAATATCACACTGGCCACAGCTTTCACAAGAGCGGCGGGTCGTGAAGAAATGGGGCGTTTTATTATTATTATTATTATTATTCTTTTTTTGTATGGTCAGGTGTTTCTTTCATTCTTCTTTAAATATATACTTTGCTTAAATTTAATATTAGAAAATATTGAAAATTGTTACATTGTCCCTTTGTACATGTAAACATTAAATGAACAAATGACTTCAAAGATAGTAGACATGTTATGTTTAAAATTCTACACAGTATAGGTGTTCACCATGAATATATATATTGTCAGTTTTTTTAAGTAAAGGTTACCTGACCTGTTATAGGGAACGCAGCTTCCTGTACATAGTTTATTGATTTATTTATTAAGTTAGAATACCATAGATTTAAAAAAAAATCTGTGATTTTAATTTTCAAGGATGAGCACGGTATATCTAATTTAATTGAGATTTAATTAAGAAATATATGCGGTTGATGAATACTTTTAAGGTCGTTCATGGAAATAACTTGCCCCTGTGGATTCGAATCCCATTAAAGACTTGTATCTAAATAGTTATTATTGAAGATATACTACAATGTCACAATGATAAACGACTAACTTTGACGGGTTATCTGAATCTTTTTCTTTCTTTTTTTTTTATAAAAACTGACATACTAGTATACAAGTTTCAAAGACATATGTCAATTCTTTTAAGATCTCCTCTTTGATTGGTACTGCTTATGCTGTGCTATTGCTACTGCCAATTTCACGTTTTATAAATTTTGTCACTGCTACTTCTGTGTTACTACTACTGCCAACTTCATGTTTTATAATTTTGTAACTGCTACTGCTCAATGCTACTGCAAACTTCCTATTGGTGATGACCACTTATAAAAGTGAGTGTATTTTATGAAAAACTGCATCAATAGAAGCTTGATCCTTAAACGTTAGGACCATAAGATAAGAATACAGAAGGCCAGTTAGTGATGACAAGACTCTACTCAGTGGACGTGTTAATGTGGTCAATACAGTTTATAGTGATATACTAGCTGATAAGCCTTACTGAAATTCAGCACGTCTCTGGGAAAATGCGTGAACTTAAGTAAATATTTGGTGGTGATTGACACACCCCTCCTTTGACTGCTATTGCCAGTGTGATATTAAATTTTGTTCAAGATGAAACGACCATTTTTATTGGCTAAATAAGTCGTGGCCACAAGATAATAACTCGTGGCCACGAGAAAATAAGTCGTGGCCTCAATATAATACGGGGAAGTCAAAGACCGGGCCCGCGAAGCGGGTCCGGGCTTAGGCTTGCCCGGCTATAGACTACACGTGTATATTTAAAAGAAAATCAAATAAAAAACATTTCAAAAATATATAGAATTCTATACCTATCAATGAAATTTTCAGTGTCAGTTCTACTCGGGCGCTGCCATTTACAATGTAACTCAATGATAAAAGGCGTGGTATTCCGATAACGGAACAAATCTCAACTTTTCGGATAAATAATAAACGTCGAGTGTTCCGAGTGAAAACGGAAGCGGTGCATGTAATACCGAATGACAATTTTAAAACGGAAAGAATGAAAGGAATTTTTTAACGACTTCCCCGTTCATAGGCTTTGCCTAATTTCATATTAAGTCGTGGCCACAAGATAATAACTCGTGGCCACGAGATAATATCTTGAGGCCACGAGATAATAAGTCGTGGCCACGAGATAACATCTTGAGGCCACAAGATAATAAGTCGTGGCCACGAGATAAAAAGTCGTGGCCACGAGATAATATCTTGAGGCCACAAGATAATAAGTCGTGGCCACGAGATAAAAAGTCGTGGCCACGAGATAATATCTTGATATACATGTAGTTATTTATAGCTATAGACTACACGTGTATATTTAAAAGAAAATCAAATAAAAAACAATTAAAAAGTATATAGAATTCTATACCTATCAATGAAATTTTCAGTGTTTGTTCCATTCGGGCGCCGCCATTTACAATGTTACTCAATGATAATAGGCGGGGTATTCCGATAACGGAACAAATCTCAACTTTTCGGATAAATAATAATCGTCGAGTGTTCCGAGTGAAAACGGAAGCGGTGCATGTAATACCAAATGACACCTTTAAAACGGAAAGAATGAAAGGATTTTTTAACGACTTCCCCGTTCATAGGCTTTGCCTAATTTCATATTATAACTATCATTCCATTTTTCCAGTAATACTGTAAAGTATCTGTAATACGCTTTATTATTTATGATGACTCTGCATATGATACTGTGATATTTGTTAATTCAAGTTGACGTATAGGTCCATTGGGCCGGGTGTTAATGCCGATACTGTTAATTCACCTGTATCATATCATTGTTTTAATTATGTCGATATAGAGTTTTATCGTATCTTATTGCAACATTTTACAGAGACGGAAATAGTCTGAAAACACACCGAGACATTTGTCTATAAAATCCATGGACATTAGATGGATAGAAAAGTTGTAATAGAAATTATTTTACATATTTGATAAGAAAGTTTGATAAGCTATGAGACATACAACAATTAATCCAATAAGTTCTTTTTTATCTATATTCCCCCCCAAAAAAACAGTTTGTAAATAAAGTAAATAATTTAATATCAATGTTTAATATAAACTATTAACTTACCCTGATCTGGAACGGTGACAGTTGACTTAGAAAAGGGATTCCCCCTGTACTCAAGCCAAACCTTGAAACAAGCGTAAAAAATAAATGGGAACTCGGAGAATATTTAAACAAAATAAATCAAAAGAAAGTTCCTTCTACAATGGCGGATTAGCCAGGGCAAGTACTGCTTACGATTGTGGTTTAGCAAAGGAAGTTCTATCCACGAAGGGAACCATTTTCTACTAATGTGATTTAGCCAAGAAAAGTTGTTGGTTTTTTTTCTACAAAGGGGTTTAACCAAGGAAATTTTTATCTAGAATTGGTGTATAGCCAATGAAAGTTCTTTATACAACTTGGGTTTAACTGCTTTTTCTAGGACAGGGTTTACCTAAACTGTGATAGTTCTTTTTAGAAATTCGAGTCAAACTTTGAAACATGCGTTTAATAAAAAGAAGATATTCAACAAAACAATATCACTTACATCTCGTTATATATCACCTTTAATGTGTTATCAGTATTCAATAATCACCATAAAAGTGATCTTTTGATAATTGTTTATTAAATTAATATAGATAATAAAAAATCGTTCTTTGAAATTAAAATCATAATCAACAATATACATTTCCTTGTTGAATTTGCTTTTTTGGAAACAATGTAACAATTAAGTTCCTGTGATATAATAGGTTTACAAGTATGCCCATCAGTGTTTCAAGAATTCTTAGTTATTGTTCTTGGAGGAAACTATTTTTTTCGAACAAGAAATAACCAAATAAATTTGTTTTTTGAATGGTTAATGACAAATTCAATTCCATCAACTGTCGTTGGCGAATCGTCACGGGAAATATTTTTGCCATATGCAGAAGTATTAAAATGTTATACCATCTTGACAAGTTTGTATAAAACCTCTAGTTAAATCAATGTGACCTACTGCCGTGATTCGGATGGTTAATTACCAACAACACCAAAAGGATGCCAATCATACGGGGTAATCAAGGTAGAGAATAATAACAAAGGTACTTACCGATACCTGTACATTTTGACTGTTGCCAAATATATTGACTAGTACTGTCTCTGGATTATTAAACCTTATTACGTTTGGAGCAACCACGAAATGGTAATCTTTAGCACTGCAAAATAAGATATACGGGCATAATCAATAGTGAGTACACTATGCCTCAAAAATGCAAAAAATAAATAAATAAAAAAACGAACTAAAAAAAAAGTCCCCTATGAATGTAAGTTTGTGCTTTGCATTGTGCCCTGATCTGATTTTGTTTGGTGTCCTAATTGGCTACTTGCCGGTGGACCTGTGTTGTGGGATTTGGTGGGCATTGAACGCCGCTCTACCTTGATTTTTTTCATACTTTGTTCTTGTGAAGGGTTGCATCGCTCGTGTTGTTTCTGCTAAGGTATATTCTTCCTTGGTCTACCTAAATGCCCTTAACCTTTCCATCATATAAGTGTGTTTCGACGGCTCCCCCCCCCCCGTTTGAGGCTTCAAACAGTGAAAAAATGCCCAAACACTGTTTTTCGTTTGAGAAATGTTGTTAAAAAGTGACCATATTTTTTGGCGCCGTCCCCCATCCAAATGTTACATCAGGTGGTTGTAAGAAGGGGGATGTGCCCCTGCTGTTTGGGGGTTTGAAGGGGGGGGGCGGAGTCCCCCTCATCGCCAAGAAAATTTTGGACATGTAACATGCTAAAATGGCCTCGGGTTGATCTTAGGGTAACTAGTAACCGACGCTGAAAAGCCTTTTAATCTATCTTAATTCATTGAGAAGTTGCAGCACTTTGAAATCAGTTTTAGTGGGGATAAAAAAAAATGCATAATAGTGTTTTTTTTGGCAATTTGGGAAGCGCCCCCCCATTCCCCAGGGTACGGGAAAAATTAAATTAAAACATGCTGTTACGGGGGGTTTGGTGTAGTCAACTTTTTAGGCTTTGGTTGTCAACTTTTTGTGCCAATTTTAAAATATTATTGATAAAGGGGGTTTTTTCATGAAAACGGTTTTTTTTTCAAACCTCATTGGGTAAAAGGGGTTTAAAAATTTTTAAAGTAACGAATATATTATTTTCATCGACATATGTTATTGAAGGTTCCCTTTTTTTTTACATTTTTTTTTATATTTAAAGATATTTTTAAGTTATTTTCGTGAAATGAAGAGAAATGTTTTTAAAATGTTTTTGAGTTGTTCGTTTTCATTTATTCCTTCTTTAGAAAAGGCAAACGTGCATTTACTTTGAAATAATGATTTATATCAAACTGTATATGTCTACATGTCTTAATGTATATGTTTAAAAGTATGCATGTAGTATGATCAAACCTTTTACAAATTGTTGGCGGATAATGATAGAACGATCACTCTGATATTTATAATGATATAATACATAACAATTTTATTATAATTATAATGATAATAGTGATAATTATTATTATTATTATTATTATTTTTATTATCAAGTGTTTTTTATCATAAAATAAAATTATCACATGTGTTCTTTATTGCAAATACTATATTTAACGTTCAAAATAATACGTAATTGTGTTTTTCATTTATTTGTTTTCATTATTATTTTTTTATTATTATTTCTTTGTGTTTCTTTATTATTTTTTAAAACTTTTTGTTGGTGGTGGTGTTGCACCAAATAAACAGAAAAATATTCAAGATTTTCCTATGTATACAACATTTATTTCCATCGGGTTGTATTAACATAAATATTTTAGGGGTGGCGGTAGTCACGAGCGAAATATGATAACTTTCATACAACAAGTTGAAAATAAATCCTGTATTTATTGAAAAAAACTTGAATTTTCTGCTTATTATAATGATACATTTCATTTTTTACAGTGAAAATGCGGAAAATGAAAATATACTTTTTATTTCGTCAATATTGCTCTATATTATAAATACTCCTACAGAGAGATATATCAATGAACGTTAAGTTTGGTTATTAGAAGTAGAACTTTTGTAAAGTGTACACATGTATTGATTTAAGCGAGTCTTAAAAACTAACTATTGACAGGAGTCAAAAAGTGTTGCTACAATTTCTATAAATACAAAAATATTATTGAATTAAAACAACATGTTCTATAGCAACAAGTACAATTTTCAATACAAAGAAATAAACCTTACTCCGTAAGTAAGTAACGGGGTTGACATTTGAAAAGAAATTAAAAAAATCACTTTAATCGAGGTCTTATCATATTTCTTTAACATTTATACTAATCATTTACCCAGTTGTCTGGAGACGTGTAGATGTAATTTATATCAAGAGACCGTGAACAGATATATTCGGATTGTTTGCATATTTTGTCATCACAAATTATGTACTTTCTCAGATATATTTTTTGATATGTTTATACAAAGCGAAAATGATCCCGATGTTCATCGATATTGAATATATTCGACAATGTTTATTACATTTCAATGTAGAAAAAGCCAGTAATTATACCAAATTGTAAGAATTAATGCAATAATGAATCAAATTTTATCAACACAGTATTGGGATAAATCAATATTTATGAAGAAACAATGCTATTGGAGTAAAAATTTACATTTTTTTCGAAAGTCGAGGAAAAAATTACAAACCCTTCGCTAGAAGCGAAAATGCTGCCAACAAGCAAACACAATTTAATCCAGTCCATCTCAGATTATTCCATCGACTGTTTATCAGGTTTCTTAGACATTCACTTTTATATAGTTTGCCGTTTAGAATTCCTGGAAATCTAACAGGATGTTTTACTGGAATTAAGATACTGTGATAAGAAATTCAAAGAAATTATCAAGCTTGTATGATTTTTTCCCAGAACTCTGGTTGTTTATAAGCCTTTTGTCAGACAGAGACAAAGTTATAGTGAAGGACATTTTTCTTCATATCATATAATGCTTATAAGCCCGTGATGACATAAAAACCATATTCACAAGATAACGAACAGTGCATATATTAGTAAACAAAACAGTATTTTGTCAAAAAAATATCGCAATAAAATTATGACTTTGAGAACATCATTAAGACTACTTAGAACATAAGAAACAGAAAATATTTATTACTGTTTGTGTTTCTCTCTGTTAATATGGCTGCATTGACTTTTGACTTGCTATGAAAATAAACAAAGATACATGTCCTGCTCTGAAAATGTTCAGTTACGTAGCATTTTAACTTACCAAATTAAACTATGAGGCAGTGTAACAACAAACATAATCAATGTTAATTTATTTTAAATATTTCATTATAAATCAGCTTATCTACATACTTTTTCTGAGTAGCGATGTAGATATTATTATATACATGTCTATTATAATGTTCGGTATTGTATTGAAACAAAACTGTAAGACAGAAAGTTTCATTACATGTTTTTCATTGTTAACAGAGTATATAATTATATAATGAATTTTGTAAAAATGTACAGTGGCGATCTACATCGATATGTTTCTATAAGATGCTTTGTTATTCTCTTGTTAATTCTATTTAATATATTACTGTATATACTTTTGTTTATAATATTGTTAATTCTATTAATTATGTCATTAAGTATTCTATTTTTTATCTTATTTTAATCATATGGCTATATTCTAGGTTTGACCCCGGCGTCTAAAACAAGGGTATATACAATATTATATTGTCGCTAATCGCGAGAGAAATTCTTTACAGGGCATTGTCCTAACATTTAATAGTTTTATTATCAAGCTTTAGATGTTTACATTTTGTTAATATCCAGAAAAATAGTTATTTTTACCAGGACATTTCATTGGTTAATTGAGGAAATCTCATCACCATTTTTGGATGTAGCTTTTTGGTGTAATTTGCACACGGCTCTAAAGATATTTACTTTGGGCGTTGCCTTAATTTTTTTGAGAGTGAAAAAGAAACTTGTGTAGAAGTAACATCTATAAAGTAATAAGAATAAAAGAGAAGAAAAATAATGTTAAAATTTTGGATAATTTAAAAATAAAGAACTGTTAAAAACTGTTTAAAAGGTAGAAATATAAAAACTGTGAAAAAGTTGAACTGTGTTTATTTTAATGTGGCGGAAAAAACAGATAATATATCACGGGTCGTACATTAATTGGTCCCCGCGAAAACAAAACCCGGATAGAGGATAGAGGGGGGGAAAAAATTGTTCTGGATTACTGTAAAAGTAAAATGTAAATAAACGGATTATATAAAAAAGGGTTTAAGCAAAAATTATTATAGTACGACTGAAAAAAAACATATAATTGAATAAATTGGAAAGATTATTCGTGATAGTCATAAACAGTCATAAATAGTTTTTTCAAAAAATCAAAGAAACAGAAACAATGAAGTGTAATAAAATAACAATAACTACTACGAAAAAAACTACAAACAAAGAAATTAAACAGCATGTTATAAAAAAAAAACAGGCGAAAAAGACTGGGGATTTTCCAAGATCATATTTCTACAAAGATACAGTAATAAAAGTGGTGTAGAATTCATGAATGAAATTCCAGTGTTATCATGAGAGTTGAAACAACGGGTTAGGATCAGTTGTTAATTGGGGCGTTTGAAATTTGAATGTCATTAACTGGAACCAGCCGTGATAAATTCCCATTTAAACTTAATTACCAGAAAATTGTGGGAGGAAATAATGATCGTTTTGTGTGTTATTATGAGATAGCAAGAAAAAAAGAGAGAGAGAGAAAAAAAATTAGGGGTTGGTCAAAGTAGCCAAAGGTGAAAAAAAAGAAAAAAAAGAAAAAGGCAATTATATGAAATTAAAAAGAGTTAAAAAAAGGCCCTAAGTAAAAATATATTCGGCAATCAGCCTCTTCATTAACGAAAGGGTTGTTCAAAAAAAGTTAGCGTAAAAGAAAGGTCTAGATAAAAAAAATGGCAGAAAAACAAATTGACAGCACAGAACCTATTAGTGGTGAATTGACTTCACATTTAAATTTGCGGTATGTTAAAGGCGTATGGCCACGTTTTAGGAAATAAAACTGAAAGAAGGCATCTTGAAAAAGCATCAGAACTGTTAACCGGAGAATCTGAGGAATATTGATTTGAACGGAAAAAATACGACAGTGCTTCGTCAAATTCATGGACAAAATTAAAATATATATCGAGAAAAGGTAGAGAAGCAAAGTGAAAAACTAGTTTATCAATGGGGATAGCGATGAAATCGATACGATTGTCGATTTTGATGACTGGCAGTTTGTGTTCCGTGCAATGGACAATATATGTAGAATTTGAAATATTTCTTTGAGTAAGCTTGTATCCATGGCAAAGAAAAAATAGAAGAAAAAACCACAGGAAGATACAGACACCCATATGTTAATACAACTAAACTAAAATATGCAAGAATTGATTCTTCACAAATGAATTTAGCAAGAACTTTCAAAAAGGGCAGTACGAAAATTTTTCCAGAGTAAAACTACCAAAAAAAAATAGATATCTTTTTTCGGGATAAAAAAAAAAAGGGGTGAAATTTTTTATTTTTTCCAAAATCTTTTTTCCAAAAAAAAAAAATTTTAGAAAGTTTAAAAATTTACCTTTTCTTGAAAAAAAAGTTATATTGGGGGCGCAAAGTTTTTAAATCGGGTTTTGCCCCCTTTACGAATGACAAAATTCCCAAAAAGTATTTTATATTTTTTTAAAAAAAATTTGAAATTTTTTGAAGAAAAATTTGAAATTCCTAAAAAGTTAATTTAATTTACCCAAAAAAATCAGCAATTTGGGTTTCATAGAAAATGAACCCAAAATTTTTAAAATTTAAAAGTATTAGATTTAAAGTATTTTCAAGAAAAATTTTTAGTTTTCGTAGGTCAAAACCCCGGGAAAATGTTTGTTCCTTGGAAATGCCGAAATGTTATAAAAAAGGCCTTTTAACTTTGAGCCCCAAAACTTAATGACTTATTGGTTTCAAAAAAAGAGCTATGAAAAAGTCAAAAATCAAAAACGAAAATGTCTTAAAAAGTACGTTTATTCAGAGGGGTTTTGTTAAGGTTCCCTTTAATTAAAAATAGATGAACAAGCAAAAGAACAAAATCAAAGTTTTTCTCATTAAAAAAAACCCTCTTGGGTTTCGCCACTAAGCAAAAAGGGAAAAACTGATTCCCAATTTTAAACCCCTGAAAAAGCCCCTACTTCCCCAATTTTTCATTGGGTAAAGAATTTTTAAATATCTTTCCCCTAAAAAAAATTATTAAAAAATTCAGCTTCCAAGTTTGAGGGCGGGTCATCAAGCAAGGGAAGCCCAAAACAAGAAATAAATGCTATTCTGCAACAATAATCATGTAAATTCACGCAAGTTTATGTTCGGCAAAAATTTTTCCCGTTTCAATTCTTATGAAACGTCCAAATGGGTCGAAAGGCAAAAAAGGAACGAAACCTGCTTACCAAAAATATTGAAAGCCCAGGTCCTTCTTTTCATCAAATGAAACAGTTTTTGATGCAAAACAACAAACACAAATACGAAATAAAAATGGAAAAAATGAAAACGTCAAATTATTTTAAGTATTCTGGAAAGTCCAGGACATTATGTTTCGAAGACTTGGAACTTAGATTAAACCTTAAAATCTCGGAGAACAAAAAAAGGTTGTAATTTTTTGGAGTTAAAAATCCAAAAGCACTTTCAAACAAAACCCACCATGTTAAATTTAAAAAGACAATGGAACAAATATATGTATAATTACTGCAAAAATTGTACCAATTTCAGGAAAAACAGTAGAAAAAATATAAAATTTACGTCAAGAAAATTAAAGAAAAATTTTATTTAAAAACCCCTTCCAATGGGAGTTTTTTCCCGCTGAAAGTGAAAATGACAGAAATTGATTGGTTAATTGGAAATGGTTTTTTTTGGACTTTTTAAAAACAGAAAAAAATTGAAATGCGTTGGAACTTTTAATTTTTCTCATGTTTAGGATGGTTTTAATTTCAAAAAAGTAGATAAGATTTAAAAGTAAATTTACCCCTTTATTTTAAATGTTTATTCTACCCTTTTTGGAAGCTCTGAATAAAATTTTTTACCCGCTAGATGAAGCTTTGCCAAAACATGAAATTAGAAAATTTAAGGGTATTTTGGGCACTTGGAATCAAACTGTTTAAAATTCCAAAATTTAGAAAAGTTTTTGTAAAAATTTTTGTAAAAATTACCTTCTGTGGACCCGGTTATTATTGGTGAAATTGTCCATGGGAAAGAAACAAGAAATTACAATGATCTACCTACCAACCGTGACTTGCATTTCGGGAGGGCTTAAAATCAACAGTAAATCAAGATACACAAACGACATGATTTTGGATGGAAAGTATGATAACGTTATAAAAGACAGTTACAAAAGGTTGTAATCGAAAAATTGTAATATTCAGAAACATATTAAACATTATCTGCCAAACCATTGCTTTTACTCCCGAAGATCAAAAAACTTCAAATTTGAGGGGCTTTTATGATGCATCGGAAAGACAAAAATCAACCCAAATAAAGTTTGAATTGACGCCTTTACCGTGGGAACAAGTTATTATTTAAATGGTTTATGGCAAATTTATTTTGAGGATTCGATTACAATCTGTAGTTAGTTGAGATATTTGAAAAAAGCACCTATTCCTAAGTAGGATTTTTACAATCAAAGATTAGAGTGGTCACAAGATTCTTATGGTTAAAAAATATTAAAAGGGAAAAGTGACTATCAATGTTGGAGAATTCGGCTTTGCAGAGTCCTTTTGGGTTATATTTCCCTTTTTTTAGGGGCTACAAGAATGTATCTTGCTTTTATGAAACGGGAAAAACATCAAA